GATTTGCGTTATTACGCCTTTTAATTCGCGTTATAACGCAAATAAAGGCGTAATTACGCCTTTTAATTCGCGTTATAACGCCTTTATTCGTGTTATTACGCCTTTTGATTCGCGTTATTACGCCTTTGTTCGCGTTATAACGCCTTTTGATTCGCGTTACTTCGCCTTTATTTGCGTTATTACGCCTTTTGATTTGCGTAATTACGCCTTTGGATTCGCGTTATTACGCCTTTATTCGCGTTATTACGCCTTTTGATTCGCGTTATTATGCCTTTATTCGCGTTATAACGCCTTTGCATTTTTATTTTTTATTTCATTTGACACTATTAGGCTTTCGTAGTTTTAACTCATGTTCCCAGAATTTTAATTCATCTTTGCTTTCTGGCGAAAGTTTTATAAAGAAATCCCAATGTGGCGACTTTACTAAGTCAATACTTAAATATCTGGTCATAATTTGTGTAACGTAACCGAACACTACTGACATGGAGATGACTTGACCAACGAAGCTAGCAAGCAAACGAACAGGTACACGGCTATGTTTTCTCAACTCTTTTTAAACATTTATCAATTCTTACTTGAGGGATAGAAATAATTCCCGAATCTGATTCAATATCTGATCCTAAAATCTGTAAATGTTGGACAGGTGCCCATACACATTTTTCATTTTTGGGTTTAAAACCGGACGATAAAAGATCTTTTTTTTTTACTGCAACACAGATCTCCATTTAGCGATTAATGGCTGTGTAACTGTACTAAAAACATACGGACTAGTGGAAAGTCCAAAAGGTAACACTAAAAATTTATAGTATCTAACAACACCATTTTTATCTGGCCAAGAAAAACCCAAAAATTAAATATGCTGTGGAAAAATGTCTATAAAATGATATGCCGAATGTATGTCGAATTTAATCATCCAGCATTGTTTATTTAAAAATGACAATGCGACCCTGAGATCGTCATACCTGAAATATTGTTTCCATAGATGTTTGTTAACCTCCCTGAGATCAAGAATCAAACGCTTTTTAACGTTATCTCTAGTGGACACAGTAAGCGGAATAACAATAAATGGAATGTTATCGCACAACTCAATTAAATTTCTGTCCAATAAATCTGATATAGCTTCGCTTACAAAAAAAAATGATTTTCTAAAGCGGACTTGTTGTTTGGCAAAATACACGAATGAGGAGCAGAATAAAACGGTATTAATTGTTTCTTTTACAAAAGAATTGAACCTATATTTATCCAGAATTCTACATGACTTTTCAATCGACCACGTACTATAATGTCTTTTTGGCTAGATTCATATTCAAAATACAGTGTAACTTCCGAATTCCGGAACTTCTGAAATCCGGAAACTTCTAAAAACCGAACAATTTTTTCGGTCCCGATTTTTTCCCTTCTATTTTCTTTTAATATAATACTTCTGAATTCCGGAACTTCTAAATTCTGAATTCCGGACGATATTTCCGTAAAATTAGAGTCAAATCAATGCAATTTTACCTCCAAAATCCGGAAATATCCAAAGGTGTGAAATACATTGTGACAGATTTGTAAATCGAGATTGTTTACCCTGCAGGAAGATTTAATCTCCCTGTCGATTGTTTACCAATTAGCGGTGATCGTGTAATTTGACACACGTTAAAATCACAAACTGTGAAATGGTATGTTTGATGCGGTCAGTTAATTTGAACTGTTTATTAGCGGATTAAATGACAATTAGTTGGGACAATATTGCATCAAACGTCCTTAGGGATTTTATTGCATTTGATGTACTAATTAATTAACTAGCATCGGACAATATGTAAGTTTATGCAATTAACAACATTTCTACAAACTGATAAAAATTCAAAGGCATTTGCAGTATTAAATAAAGTGTTGAATATCAATGTTTTCTTTTCCTTCACATCTTTATTTTGACCAAAAGACTATTTTATATGATATTACAGTAATAGCCACATTTTCCTTGACATTTAGTGGCTTAGTATTGTCCACATTATCCGAAACCTCTGAATTCCGGAAACCTCTGAAATCCGAACTTTTTGACAAGTCCCATGGTAGTTCGGTTTTCAGAAGTTACACTGTAGTTACATGTATTTGTTAAATGACTTTCTCGCGTATTATGACAGTTTATAACATGAGAATAATACCCATCTTCCATAGATAAATGACCCGGATTTTCATTGCCAATGCTTCTTGGCTGGAAACCGTGCTGATCTATCGTCGGTGGGACCGTTGACATAGGGACAGAAGCGCCTGAAGTGATCGAATGAACCGCAGGAGAAATATGATCCGTAGGTTGAAGACTTTGGCTTGAAACTGTTGAAGCCTCAAAAAAGTCTTGTTCCCCTAGCTGGCAGGATTGGATAGATGTCGTCTGCATTACTGCAAAAAGCAGTAGGATTGTTGAAAAGTGCATCGGAAGTGACGGTAGAAGACGGTGGCACTTTGCGAGAAGACTGGAGACGTTTCTAAAAGATGTCTTTGATTAACGTTTCTTGAGAGCCTGATTCTCAGCTTTGTGGAGTTTAGTTTCATCCTCGGATTCGCTTGCCAGTGGATTAGCTGTATAGCAATTAGCAATTAACCGTTTCCCAGGCTGCTTCGGACGCATCTGCAATACGTATAAGCTTGCTTTTGACGATGCTTCTCTTTGTCCAAAGCCTCGGAAATGATATCTCGGCAGTAGGCGTATTTGTTATTGTCAATTCCCCAAATAGCTTGATTCAGTAAGTCGATTATTTCACTGTTAAAGGTATACTGAACTTTGTTACCTTGTCGTTTCCAGGTAATATAAATGTCCGATTTGATTTTCTTCACCTCTTTGCCGACGGAAATATTCTGGCCGCGCACCTCTTCTCTCAATTCTGTAACGTCTTGCCTTTGTAAAGAAAGCTGCCTAGATATCTCAGCTAATTGAGCCTGTAGAGTTGAACCGTTACCAAGCACTGAATGAATTTGCAACGCTATTCCGAAAATCACGTGCTGATTTAGGCGCGAATAGCGCCCTCATGTGATCCGACGGGAACAAAACCAGGGGAAATAATTTTCTTCTAATGCACTATGTTTAAACGAAGAAAATTTTATTATTTTTTTTAAATATTGAACTCTTTTTTTTATTTTGACACTTCGAAATTTGTGAAGTTAGCAGCCTAGCAGCCTTAGAAAACTAAGGATAATACAAATATGAAAACCGGCGGAAAAGAATCGGTAGCAGATAGTTAGACCATTCCACGTCTTATTTCAGTATCGCTATCTGTATTTTTTTAAATATTGAACTTTGTTTTGTTTTTAATCTTAACGCTTCGAAATTTGTGAAGCTAGAAGCCTAGCAGCCTAACATCGTAAAGAAAACTAAGGATAATACAAACATGAAAACCATCGGAAATGAATCGGTAGCACATACTTAGACCATTCCACGTCTTATTTTAGAATCGCGATCTTTATTTTTTTAAATATTGAACTTTTAAACGAAGAAAATTTATTATTTTTTTTAAATATTGAACTCTTTTTTTTATTTTGACACTTCGAAATTTGTGAAGTTAGCAGCCTAGCAGCCTAAGAAAACTAAGGATAATACAAATATGAAAACCGGCGGAAATGAATCGGTAGCACATAGTTAGACCATCCACGTCTTATTTCAGTATCGCGATCTGTATTTTTTTAAATATTGAACTTTGTTTTGTTTTTAATTTTAACGCTTCGAAATTTGTGAAGCTAGAAGCCTAGCAGCCTATCAGCCTGGCAGCCTAACATCGTAAAGAAAACTAAGGATAATACAAACATGAAAACCGTCGGAAATGAATCGGTAGCACATACTTAGACCATTCCACGTCTTATTTCAGAATCGCGATCTTTATTTTTTTAAATATTGAACTTTTTTTGACACTTCGCGTTGAATGCGATTTTGATTCTGGATAGTGCGTAAACCCGGTATTAAAATTGAGAAATTTTCGATTAAGCTGAAAGTTTCACACAAATGGAAGTTAGTTTATCGAACAATCTATTTCACAAACATATTTTTAATCTCAATTATTTTTCCTTTGTACGAAAAAGTCTTGAAACGAACTAATTACAGGAAATAAACATTATGATACTGTGTACACTCTAAAACAATCAAGATACTGCGTACACAGGTATATGTTATTGATTCTGCCTACACTTTCTTCGAAGCAGTCTAAGTTTATAACGGGATCAAATCCATAACACTGGCGAACAAAAAAATAATAAAATGATAATTAAAATAAAAAATAACATTCAAATTCTGTGATTAAGTATGCTCCGATAAATGTTTGAAATGTACATCTTAAAAAGGTTTGAGTTTAATATTTTTCATTATATTTGTTTACTCATTTATGTAACACTCTAAACTAATAATGTACACTGCATTTTAAAATAAGTAACTTTTGACAGTCAAATTTACAGCTCATTTAAAAAAATAAACGTATGCCGATTTTGTCGCGAATTCTTCTTCAGACAACATGAAGGACGATCGACATCGTTAAGATTGTCCTTACAAATGCGTATGGAACGCCGTGACTGTCTTCTGTGATCAATGCTTTTGCTATCTTGTGAAACGATGATATTATTTTGTCATTTGAGCATGCTAATATGTGCAATTCACATCATGTATTGTCAAAGAATCATGCTGACTTGTGCAAATAACATATTAACTTGTCAAAATGTATAAATGACTTGTGCAAATGACATGTTAACATCTCAAAAAATAATGATGACTTGTGCAAACGACTTGTTGACTTGTCAAAGTATCGTATGGAAACGTATATGGTACACCCTGATGATGTCATTTCACGTGGAGATGTGTTCTTGTAGGACGAAATGATTACGCCAAGTTATCATAAAATATAAAGAATGATATGATAATTTGATCATGACGTTATAAAAGAACACGATTTGTCGTCGTAAAATAAAACGACATAACTACATAATTACGGAAGCTTCAAAGGGTCACCTGTTACGTATGGAAGCTTGAATTGACTATGGAAACGTATATGGTACACCCTGATGATGTCATTTCACGTGGAGATGTGTTCTTGTAGGACGAAATGATTACGCCAAGTTATCATAAAATATAAAGAATGATATGATAATTTGATCACGACGTTATAAAAGAACACGATTTGTCGTCGTAAAATAAAACGACATAACTACATAATAACGTATTTTGTAAAAACTGGTATGTTGACTATGTTCGTTGTTTACGGTATTATGACTTGCTATAGGTCGACATGCCGGATTTTACTGTCTTGTCATTTTCTGTTATAGACGACAAGTACAGATCATGACAACATATTCATGTTCTTAAAAACTGATATTATCACATTAACATTTAGTTCCTATGTCTACTTATTAAATTATGTTGACTTTTGTCTTTATAATGATTTTTCCCCAATTTCATCGCGACTTATGTATATAATTATGACACGTCGACATACATTATGACACTATTCGTTGTTGATGGCGGTTTTTCAACAATTTAAAATAGTTTGAAGTCGACATGAATATATTATGTAGGCATCTATATGTAATTTTAGACGACATTTGATATCAATTACGATTTCCGTCAATTTTTGACCTGCATCTCGTGTCATGGATTCCAACACTGGTAAGATTTCCAAACTTTTTTTTATTTTGGTTTCCTTTATATGCTTTGAACGGAGATCTCTGTCTTACAACACTAATAATAAAGTATTGATTAATTTCCATCTTTTGAGAGGCCAAATGTTAGAGTGAAGAAAAATTCGTCCTTATCTCACTTGTTTAAATTGTGCATGACTGGTCATGAATGAATGAAGTTGATTAATTTTAAGTCGCCACCGGGAGTCCCATTTGGGCGACTATACACTGGTAAGGAGTCAAATGGAGGAGCAGCGTATCGAACTACGACCATTGGTATATTGGCTATATGCATTTTCACGGCGCTTAAACATTTACTACCACGGTTTTAAAACATAAAGCAAATCAACTCTTTCTTTCTTGCAAAACAGGAAATGGGACAAAAGTAAATAGCTCTATATAAAAGTCAAGCCTGTTACTGGAGGTTACGTACCATGGAGGAAACATACCAGGGGGTATTTTTGGAGGTTTCGTACCACTTATATAGTTTAAAATATACGTACCATTGATATATGTTGTCATCTAATTTCTATGAATTATATATGTACATGTACAGAATAATAAACACAAATACATGTATATGACTTAACAATTGCAATAAAAAAGTAAATTTAGTAGTAGTGCTTTGATATGATTTTGTAATTAGTAATATTATATAACCAGTTACTTAAAAAGCAAAATCAAATCAAAGCAATAATAAATCTTAATGGCAATATCTAAGTATGATTATCACACAGTCAAACAAATAACATACAAATTACAAACTATAATATACTATAATTAATCATTATATTATAATTGTAATCTCATTATGAAACAATTTTGCATTTATCTCTTTACTTACTTTTTTCTAAACATGTGGTACATAACCCCCAAAAACGGTACATATGTGGTATGTTTCCTCCCCAAATTTCCCAACTGATTGTTTTTGTACGAGTACTCTCCCTTTTTAAAAAAAACATCATTTGCATTTTCAGATATCATGGACGCGGGAGACACCAACGCTTTAACTGAGGTGCGTATTTTGCAGTAAATCTAAACCCAAACATTTTCTAATTTATGTACGTAACCAAAGACCTTGTAAAGAAAGTTCACTTAATATGTCCTTGATGTTATTAAAATCTTTTCTAAACCAGGCAGGTATATATATATATAGAATTAGTAACGATTCGCCACACAAACGATTCGCCAAATAACGATTCGCCACAGAGTATTTGATCACAGACACTTGCGGTTATGTGCGTGGCTCCCCTTCTTGATCCGAACCAAAAATGGCCAAAAAGATCAAAGGAAAAGTCACATTAGTACCATTTTGTGAGTACGTCCGCCCGTCTGTCCGCCCGTCCGTTCCGTAGCATAACTTAAGTTCCATTTTGCCAACAATATTCAAACTTCATAGGATGATTGTCCATATTAGGTAGAAGACCCCTATTGATTTTTGGGTCACAATGCCAAAGGTCAAGGTCACTATAACCTTAAAATTGAAGTATAACTTAAGTTCCATTTGGCCCTCAGTGTTCAAACTTCATAGGATGATTGTCCATATTGGGTAGAAGACCCTTATTGATTTTAGGGTCACAAGGTCAAAGGTCAAGGTCACTATTACTTTGAAACTGAAAACAGTTTTTGGAGGATAACTTAAGGTCTACTTGACCCACAATATTCAAACTTCATAGGATGATTGTCCATATTAGGTAGAAGACCCCTATTGATTTTGGGGTCACAAGGTCAAAGATCAAGGTCACTCAAATACCTCAAAACTGAAAACAGTTTCCAGAGCATAAGTTAAGTTCCATTTGACCCACAATATTCAAACTTTATAGGAGGATTGTTATTTGAAGGAGGTAATATTCTATTTAATTTATGTAATGTCTTACAAATGCTTCATCCTTACTAAAAAAAGAAAAACACTTTCGGGCATATAATGCACTGCCTAGCGGTGCTCTTGTTACTGTCTTGTTAGAACTTCCGTCAGTCCTTCCACAAAATTTGATCTGGTGATAATGCAAAAAGGACAGAAAATATCTTTATGAAACTTGATATATGGATATATGCTGTCTTGAGATTATGCACGTCTTTTTCTTTTCTTCCTATGTTGAAAAATTTGGTTGCTGTGGCACCAGGCTTAGCAATATTTGTCATTACTCAAAAAGTAGTGAAAACATTTTTATGAAACTAAAGATATATGTTTCTTATCATCAACCTCATCATATGTGACAAGGTTTACAACTGTAGCACTACAATTTTCAGAATAACCTCCCTTGAACTTAGAATAATAAGAACTTTTCTGCACACAGAGGCTCATACAAAATGTTAAGACAGCTTTTTCTTTTTGTATATTTACAGGCATCACTGCCAAAAGAAGATAATCCTAACAGACTGAAGGTAAAACTCTAGCTCTAATTGTTTGCGAGTATTGACTTCCTAATTGTCATATTACAGAATGAAGCAATATTTTTATATTCAGGATTAGTTTTTGGGAAAAAACAGCATGTGGCCTATCACTAAATCAGAAATGCTCAGAATAAGATATTGTCATTTACTTTTTAGCTCCGCTATGCAAAAAGTATATGGATAGCTGTCCTACTCACCCCGGCCAAGTTTTGGTGCTGTAAAATATTTTTCACAATTAACTTTCTCATTTCTAAGGTATCAACTTCAAACTTCAAATATATGTTCCTTATCATCGACCACATCTTATATGACAAGGTTCACAACTCTAGCACAAATATTTTCAGATTTATCTCCCCTTCAACTTAGAATTTTTCTTTAAGAATATTATTTTTTACTGTTACTTCTTTATTTCTTAAGGGATCAACTTCATACTTCAAATATATGTTCCTTATCATCAACCACATCCTATGTGACAAGGTTCATAACTGTAGCACCAAAATTTTCAGATTTATCTCCCCTTGAACTTAAAATATTCCTTAAATGTGACTTCTATATTTTTAAAGGGATCAACTTCATACTTCAAATATATGCTCCTTATTAATTTATTTTAACTGTTTCTTCTTTATTTCCTAAGGGATCAACTTCATACTTTAAATATATGTTCTTTATCATTAACCACATCTTACGTGACGAAGTTCATAACACTAGCACCAATATTGCAAGAATTATAAGTCATAAGATTGACAAATCGGTGGAGTGTGGGGGCACCCGTGTGGGGGCACCCGTGTCCTATGGACACATTTCTAGTTTTTGCAGAATTATAAAGTTCAATACTAGAGAGATCTGAGAAAATTCAGGGATTTTTTTTTAATTTTATTTTTTGTATTTGGCTTTTTATAGTCTATAATAGGTTTTATTCCCATTTGAAAATAGTATATTATTTTCCCAATCCACAGGAAAAATTTCCAATTTAAAGTTACCAAATAAAAATATTAAATAAAAAATTCTAGAAACTTTTAAGCTTCTTCTCTGTTATGAGTGTTAATATTTAAAGATGCCATCCTAGACAGTGATTGTTTGCATTCATTTTCATTTAATCCCTGCAAAATTTCAGTCAAGCATTTCTCCTAATTTTTAACAGATTTCAAGGGTCCAAAATTGATTGGCTATCGACATGTTTAATGTCTTTGGCCATATTTACAATAAACATATATCGCATATATTAAACAAAACATCGCTAAAATTCCCAATTCCATTGGTATGCGTCATGTTCTCAAAATCCTGGAAAAAAAATCCTGAATTTTTTCCCAATCAGAAAATTGTTTACCTCAAGCAAATTTAAAAGCTTTTAAAAACTTATTAAGTGTTCGATCAAAAGTAACTGAAATGATTTAATTTATCACAGTTCATTTATATTATAACTTGCTTAAGATATTAAAGGGTGTTTAAGTAAAAACATTAAGATAGCCTCTAAAGGATATTGTATCATAGTTTGGGGACCTTTCTGTTGAAAATGTGTCACAGATAAATGGTATACATATACATGCACAGTGCTTTAACTGGAGTGCAAGACTATTAGTTACCCACACTGCAGAGCATGCCTATTAATTGGCTCATTTTTGCTGGGGTTTACTTATTGTGATGGCTGAGAAAGAGAAAGCGACAGAAATATCATATTCAGATGCTCGTTCATTGCTTACCTTTTCATGCGGTTTCATATTGTGAAAATTTTATTACTGATTCTTGACATTATTCTAATTAGGTGGAGGTAACAAGAGCCTTCAAGGTCACCAACAACTCTCGCACTAGAAAAGTGGGAATAATGGCATCCAATATGGGTGAACTGGAAATGAAATGTAAGTAACATTGAAATAGAAAACTATTAAATTAAAGTAAAACTGTTCTCCTATTTTTAGCTCAACTTTTTTTTTTCTTTAAAAATAGAGGTATTGTTACAGTCACCCGGCGTTGCAGTTCGGAAACTTGTACCTTGATCATAACTTTTTAAGTTAAGTTCTAGGGTTATTGTCTTCATACTTGGCCGCAACAACCCTTGGGACAAGACTAAAATTTGCTTCCATTCATAAATGACCCTGATCTTTAAGGTCAAATTTCTAATTTTTTGGGACTTTTTTTTGCTTTGAGTGGCTATAACTTTGTTATTTTTGAATGGATTGTCTTCAAACTTTAACATAATATTTTTTAGGATAGACCTTTAAGTTAATCACACAGACTTTGACCTTCACTCATAAATGACATTGACCTTGAAAGTCAAATCATTGAAATTTTCAAATTTTTTTGCTGTAACTGTTATAACTTTGTTATTTTTAAATGGATTGACTTCATATTATAACAGAACATTCTTTAGGATTAGGCCTTCATGAATATTAAACTCAAATTGAGCTTGGCTCATTAATAAGACCCTGACCTACCTTGAAGGTTGAATTATTGAATTTTCCCTGATTTTTACTATAATTGACTGTAAATTGGTAATTGAATTATCTTCATACTTTGACAAAATAAACTTTTGGACAAGACCTTCTTGAAGGTTGAACTGACCTTGACCTAAAAATGACCTTGACAATCAATGGCCAATTTCAAATTTTCATAATTTGGTAATTTATGTACGGATTTGATTTAAACTTTAACAAAACAATACTTGCTACCTAACAAAGATATTGAATAAGTTAGATGTGACCTTGACCTTTTATTGACCTTGACTGTAGTGTTAAGGTCAAATTAATAAAATTCCTCTTTAATGCCGCCGCAGCATCTGCGATGGCATATAGCAATTCACCTGTGTGTGTGTGAGCATGTGTGGATTATATAGAGAACTTAAAAATCCTCTTTTGAAAAACCACTAGTCCAATTTCAACCAAACTTGGCAGGATTGTTCCTTGGATAAAGGGCTTCCAAGGTTGTTCAAAGAATTTGATTCCATGCAGAAAAAGGAATAATAAAGATAATTTTAAAAAATCTTCTTGTAAAGACCCACACGGCCTAGAGTGTAGCGGACCTCTACCAAGATTGTTCAAATTAAAGCCCTTGGGTCAAAATTGGCCCCGCCCTGGAGGTCATTGACTTTGGTTATGTACATATAGTAAAAACTTGAAAAATCTTATTGTCTGAAGGTACAAGGCTTAGAGCTTTGATATTTGATATATTATATCATCAATAGGTCCTCTATCAAACTTGTTCAAATTATGCCCCTAGTGTCAAATTGGACGGGCTGGTTGGGGGGTCATAGGTTTTCCTTATATGTATAAAATTAGAAAATTAAAAATTTTCTTCTTGGAATTTACAAAAGCTAGAGGTAAGATATTTGTCATGAAACATTGTGTAGTGGACTTTGATAAAGATTGTTCAGATTATATATTATGTACAGTAAAAACTTAAAAAATCTTTTTGTGTGAAGGTCATGATTTTCAGAGATGTTTATGAAATGATTTAGGTCATGAACTCTAGCAAGATGGTTGTGAGGTTTGTAGAGATATTAAATGAAACAATTTGAGCACATAAGACCATTATGATTCACCCCATGTATTTAATAATGATTATATTTTTGTGTCGCCTTAAAAAAAGGCTTGTCTGGCTTATCTTAAGCTTGTCTGGAGCATAAGTCAGTCATTTTAAGTGGGATTGACTTCAAACTTGCTATGCATGCTTCTTATAATGACCCGAAGTGCAGTGCACAAGAACCGGTACTCTGCACTTCTTATTTTTTGAGTTATTGCCCTTTGTTAATTTCATACTTTATTTTTGTCCGGGCCATTTCTCTTAGAGTATAAAATCTATGGACTTGAAACTTCATAGGATGATAGATCTCATTAAGAAGAAGTGCAGTGCACAAGAACTGGTACTCTGCATTTCTTATTTTTTGAGTTATTGCCCTTTGTTAATTTTCATACTTATTTTTGTCTGGGCCATTTCTCCCAAAGTATAAAATCTATGGACTTGAAACTTCATAGGATGATAGATCTCATTAAGAAAAAGTGCAGTGCACAAGAACTGGTACTCTGCATTTCTATTTTTTTAGTTATTGCCCTTTGTTAATTTTCATACTTTATTTTTGTCCAGGCCATTTCTCATAAATTATAAAAGCTTTAGACTTGAAACTTAATAGAATGATAGATCTTATTGATAAGAAGTGCAGTGCACAGAAACTGCTGCTCTGCATTTCTTATTTTTTGAGTTATTGCCCTTTGATGATTTTCAAATTTCATTTTTGTCCTGGCCATTTCTCCTAAACTATATTGTTCACAAGGCGGCACATCCGACTCGCGGAGTTCTAGTTAGACATTGGTAATGCTTAATTGAAAAGAGGGTATTTAAGAAAAAGTTACTGTACCTGCATTTCAAAGATTAATACAGCTATGTTATACAGTTAATATTTTTTTGTCAATAAAAAAATCTTTTATTTTTGAATCAATTATTGCACTAAGGCCTTTGTACCTTAACAATAAACACATCTGCACATGTGTCTAATTATTTGACATGCTGAAATATGACCTTCACACCCAAATTCACTAGACACTATTGCATTATGGCAAAGTTCAATTGTATAGTAACAAAATAAATCTATTTCAATCTGTTATATTAATGCGGTGGCATAGCATTTTTCCACAAATGCATTCTTGTTTTTATCTATCACAAAGTGACATTGTGAGCTTTTGTGATTGCTTGTTTGGTGTCCGTCCATCTGTAATCCGTTAACTTTTACTTTAAAGGACATCTCCTGAGAAACCATGAAGTCAATTTCATCAAAACTTCACAGGAATGTTCCTTTGGTGGTCAACTCTAAAAATAATTCAAAGAGTTCAATTCCATGCAAAAAGACACATCTTAAAATGTTTTCTTTTACAAAAAAAAACCCCGAAGAGCTAGAGCTTAGATAATTGGCATGAAATATCTTCAAGTGAGTGTCTACCAAGTTTGTTTAAGTAAAAGCCCTTGGGTCAAAACGGGGGTCATTGATTTTCCATATATGTACACATCTTTTGGAACTGTTGTTTTCCCATAGGAATAGCAACCAGTAATGTTTTTACACATCACTATTAACTTTATGATATCAGTTTAAGATTTAGATTTTGTATCTGCTTTTGTTTATAGTTTACAATATTACTTGTTCCTCGTCATGGAGAGTCTCTATTATAATTCAGGTTTGTTTTGACATAGAATTTACATTAAAGTTTGTGTAGGCACCTCAAATATTTTCAAAGTACATTGACATATGGCTTTGAAACTTTGCACACTTGTTCACCATCATGCCCCTTTACACAGGAGGAAGGAACTCTATCAAGCATTTTGACAGAATTAAGCCCCTTTTTTTACTTAGAATTTATGTTTAAGTTTATGTACCACCTCAGATATTTTCATATTTCATTGATATCTTGCATTGAAACAAGTTGAAATTTTATACATTTCTTTGAGAGCATAATAGGACTCTCTCAAGGCCTATAACTGTAACATGGATTTGAGAAAAAAAAATGGCCATTTTGTGAACTTAGAAAATTTTACATTATCAAGGCTCTTTTACTCAAGCACTAAGAATAGTCGAGCATGCTGTCCTAATGACAGCTCTTGTTAAAAATTATGAAACGTTTCCAAATATTTTCAGAACACCCTTTGTATGCTCTAGATCTAGTATGGAAATTTCTGATTTCATTGCAATAAGTGAAGGTTACTTTGAGGTTTACTTTTTACAGTATGTAATAAACTTCATTAATAATGATATTTTTCATGAAAACAGGTCGTCAGAAATTAAACTTGCAAGGACAGTTGTCATTTGTACTGGCTGAAGATGGGACAGAGGTTGACTTTGATTATTTACAAATGATTCAGACAGATAGTATGTTGATGGTACTGCATGGAGAGGAACATTGGGAAGCTTGCAAGCCAGAAAGTGCTACTGTAAATGTGCCTGATGATAAAGGTATATTTTTATATTCTCGAAACAAAGTTTGCTGAGGGTTATAATACTTGAATCACGAAGTTTTTCAGGGAGTCGAGAGGTTGATTGGTCTGTCACGTTTTTCATCTTTATCTTGTGTCACAAACTTCTTCAGTTTTTAGCTCACCTGTCACAAAGTGACAGGGTGAGCTTTTGTGATCGCTTTTCGTCCGGCGTCCGTCCATCCGGCGTCCGGCCGTCCGTAAACTTTTACTTTAAATGACATCTCTTCATAAACCACTAAGCCAATTTCATCCAAACTTCACAGGAATGTTCCTTTGGTGGTCACCTTTAAAAATTGTTCAAAAGATTTAATTCCATGCAGAACTCGGGTTGCCATGGCAACCGAAAGAAAAAAACTTTAAATGTCTTCTTAACCGTAAGAGCTAGAGCTTAGATATTTGGCATGAAACATCTTCTAGTGAGTGTCTACCAAGTTTGTTCAAATAAAAGCCCTGGGGTCAAAATTGGCCCCGCCCAGGGGGTCATTGATTTTCCTTATATGTGTATAGCAAAAACTTAAAAATCTTCTTTGAAAAAACCCAAATAGCTAGACTTTAGATATTAAGCTTGAAACATCTTCTAGTAAGTGTCTACAAAGTTTGTTCAAATGAAAGCCCTGGGGTAAAAACTGGCCCCGCCCCAGGGGTGTCATTTATTAACTATATGTGTATAGTAAAAACTTAAAAAATCTGCTTTTAAGAAACCCAATGAGCTAGAGCTTAGATGTTTTAATAGCATGAAACATCTTCTTATGGGTGTCTACCAAGTTTGTTCAAAAATAAAAGCCCTTGGGTTAAAATTGGCCCTGCCGGGGGGGGGGGGGGGAGGGGGGAGGGCGATGAGGCTATATACAGGTGAGCAACTTCAGGGCCATCATGGCCCTCTTGTTACCTGATTCAATTGAAATTTGGTTGGACTGATCACTAAGTAGTCTAGCAGTGCAAGAGATATTTTGATAAAAAATGCATCACAAACTTAGCTTTGTTACTGCTCCTTGAACTTATACTTTTTAAGCGCCTGGGCGTATAGTAATTGACTCGTCCATTTGTTGTTCTGTCCACACTACCAAATAGGGATAGAGGGCTATCTAATTGTAAACAGAACAAAAAAGAACAATAGAGTTCATTCCATAATGATAGAGAAAGGGGCCAATGGCCATCTATTAAACAAAAGAAAAAACAATAGAAATGGCCCTTAAGTTACACTTCAGTCCGTATCAGGTAAACCTAAAGGGCAAATTAGATATTTCTTAAGTTCTACTTGTACCAATGTCTTCATGATTTACATACTTACTAATCACAACAAAGTACATGATCTGACCAAGTAACATAACTATGGCTTTCATTTTACCAAGTTATTACCCTTTTCAGCACCTAGAAAATGAATAATGGTTAACCCATTACTTCATGAGCATTTTGTGAAAAATGGCTGTTTTCATTGAAAAGTCTCCCGTTACAAGTTCAAATTGCTATAATACTATAAAAACTGCTTCAACACTAATCAAACTTGGCACAAATGTTGACTGGACCATTGCCCTTGCAACAACATGCTCAGGCTTAAATTTTCTGTTACCATGGCAACGAGGGGACATCTCAAAATTGCCAAAAATCACTATTTTGCGTTGTTTTTTTCCATCAAAATTGATTTCAAAGTGCTGCAACTTCTCAATGGATTGAGATAGAGTCAAATGCTTTTCAGCGTTGGTTACACGTTACCTTATGATCAATCTGGGGTCATTTACAGCCTCTCACAAGTCCAAAATTTTCTTGGCGATGAGGGGGACTCCGCCCCCCTTCAAACCCCCCCAAACAGAAGGGGGCACATCCCCCTTCTGGCAACCCCCTGATGTATCTTTTGGTTGGGGGGCCGCGCCGAAAAAAAGGTCACTTTTTTTAACAACATTTCTCAAACAAAAACAAGTGTTTGGGGCCTAAATAAGGCATTTTTTTCATCATTTGAGACAACAAAAAGGGGGGGGGTGAAAAAGGCGTTAAAAGGCGTGTATATGAAGTAATGGGTTAACCTGAACTGGCAAGTTGGATGTATCTTAAGTTCTATGTACATGTATATATTAATAGGTTCATTATACATTGACAGTTGTAGCAAAGTAAAGCACTTTATTTTTGTCACTTGTGTTTTCCAGAGGAAGAAGTAATGAAGATGGTAGAAAAACTAAGAGAGAGCAAAAATAAAAGAAGAAAAGTTGATGGCAAAGAGGTGAGTGTTCCCACTGCTTGAGAACAGGTTTTGGCATATAAATGTTAAACAGGATAAAGGACAACAGGTTATAAATTATTGTCGAAGGCGGGTATGCTTCTGGCCCTTGTTTGTTCATGTGTCTGTGGCATTTTGTATGGAGCATAACTATGTCTAGAACCATGGAATATTCAAAAAATTTAGCATATATTTCACCAACATAAGGGGATGAAACCATGTTCCTAGTTGTTATATCAAGGTTACAATTAATTAAAGTTATGATATATATGTCTGCTCTGTATAATCTATACTGATGGAAGATTTTTGACAATCGTTAATTTAATTGTTGAATTTGTATTTGTTAAAACATTATTTACTTATTTTACTATAAACGGTATGTATAACTAACTTTTTAGCTCACCTGTCACAAAGTGACAGGGTGAGCTTTTGTGATCGCTTTTCATCCGGCGTCCGGCCGTCCGTTGTCCGTAAACTTTTACTTTAAATGACATCTCCTCATAAACCACTAGGCCAATTTCATCCAAACTTCACAGGAATGTTCCTTTGGTGGTCACCTTTAAAAATTGTTCAAAGAATTTAATTCCATGCAGAACTCTGGTTGCCATGGCAACCGAAAGAAAAAACTTTAAATATCTTCTTTTAAAAAACCCTAAGAGCTAGAACTTAGATATTTGGCATGAAACATCTTTTAGTGAGTGTCTACCAAGTTTGTTCAAATAAAAGCCCTGGGGTCAAAATTGGCCCCGCCCCAGGGGGTCATTGATTTTCCCTATATGCATATAGTAAAAACTTAAAAAATCTTCTTTTAAAGAACTCAAAGAGCTAGAGCTAAGATATTTAGCATCAAACATGTTCTAATAGGTGTCTACCAAGTTTGTTCAAATAAAAGCCCTGGGGTTAAAATTGGCCCCGCCCTGGGGGTCATTGATTTTCCTTATATGTGTATAGCAAAAACTTAAAAAATCTTCTTTGAAAAAACCCAAATAGCTAGAGTTTAGATATTAAGCATGAAACATCTTCTAGTGTGTGTCTACAAAGTCTGTTCAAATAAAAGCCCTGGGGTCAAAATTGGCCCCGCCCCGGGGGTCATTGATTTTAACCATATGTGTATAGCAAAAACTTAAAAAATCTTCTTTGAAAAAACCCAAATAGCTAGAGTTTAGATATTAAGCATGAAACATCTTCTAGTAAGTGTCTACAAAGTTTGTTCAAATAAAAGCCCTGGGGTCAAAACTGGCCCCGCCCCAGGGGTGTCATTGTTTTTAACTATATGTGTATAGTAAAAACTTAAAAAAAACTTCTTTTAAAAAGCCCAATGAGCTAGAGCTTAGATGTTTAGCATGAAACATCTTCTTATGGGTGTGGGGGGGGGGGGGCTATATACAGGTGAGCGACCTCAGGGCCATCATGGCCCTCTTGTTGTTCTTGTAACTATGCAAATAAAAATAAGTAAATAAATATAAACAAAATTAAGAAACAAGATAATATTAAACATGGAGGGCTACATGTATTTTGGACTTGATGGGGTTTAAAATTAATAAACTTTGGCAATTGTCCAATAGCCCCCTTGCTACACAGCTTCTTAATTATACCCCATAACAAAAGGGGGGGGGGCTATAATGGATTCGCTTTGTCGCGTCCATCCGTCTCCATTATCGTGACTGCTCTATAAATCCTATACCATTTGAAGGATTTTTATGCCCCGCCATATAATGGCTTGGGCATATAGTGTTACCCTGTTCCGTCCTTCTGTCATTCAGTCATCATCAGTTTCCCTTCATTATCTTAGTAACGGTTGCTCACATTCAACTCAAATTTTGCATATGGATAAGTCATGAGAAAATACAAGTCAAGTTTGAATTTGGATCATGGTTCGATGATTTTTGGCAGAGTTATGCCCCTTTTACTATCAAAAATATATGAAATTTTCAGTTTGCATTCATTATCTCTCCAACGGTATTACACATTCAACTCAAACTTGACATATGGATATGTCATGAGAAAATACAGGTCAAGTTCGAATTTGGTCGACATGAAACATGAATATATTCCATAAGGCTATTTCGCGACACCAAAATTGAAAATGTGGTACTTTTTCTTTCTAATTGCCAACTTCTAGATTGGGAATATTTTTTGGGGAAAAAAACATAGTTTGGTTGGGGAATGGGGCCAATATTTCGAACCGTGGGATTGGGGAAAAAAGGCCTGAATTTGGTCATATTCAACTCAAATTTGACATATGGATATGTCAAAGGAATGTGCAAGTCAAGCTAGAATTTGGTCATGGTTCGGTTATTTTTGGCAGATTTATGTCCCTTTCACTTTGAAAATAGTATGAAATTTTCAGTTTCCGTTCATTCCGGTTGCTGTTTGCAAAAAACACTTTACATTTGACACTAACCTTTAAATGACACTAAAGAATTTTATAAACCTGTTGCTTGTTTTTAAAAAGAAAAATACTTTTAAGACCTATTCCTTAAGGTGAGCGATTTTGGGCCATTATGGCCCTTTTGTTTTACATGATTTTGACAAAACTTAGTTACTATGTTGTCTTGATTAAATCTTTTAGGATTTATACCTGGGGGTCAAAAACTAGGTCATGAGATCAATAAGATAGCACACCTGTTTGTTTTTGCAGGTGTCATAATGAGCGATATAGTGGCCATGGCCTCTTAAATTGTTCTTCACTCAAAAACATGTTTCTTTGATTTGAGATGCACATGTATTGGGTAGTTCTTATTTATTAATTTATAACAGTTTCAAGTGGGGTAAATTGACATGATTATACTTATCATGTTTTTATAAGTACTTTGCATGGTTGCAATTAGATCTTTGTATTGTTTCAGTCGAGGAAAGGGAAGGACCCGAGCCGTGATATGAATATCCAAGTGGGATGGCAGAATTTTTCGTACCGAGAAAAGCGCTACAAACTGGTTAAAGGAACAAGAGAAAGGCCGGATTCTGGCCCAACACAACTGAAACTTAAAATCAATGCCACATTCGAGCAGATCGAAAGTACCCTCAAGAACCATTTCTTCCCTGGCAAAAGAAGCCCGATTGGGCATGAAAAAAAGTTTTATTTCTCTGTTGGCACATTTAAAGGAGAAGAAATAATTAAATCGCTAACTCTGGGAGAGTTTGTTAATTCAAAAGAAACAAAGACAAGGATATACCTTCTGTCAAAACCGGTACGCTTTACTTTTCTCGTTGTGTGAACACTTTTATTAGCTCACTTGTTCTTAAAATGGGTCATGTCCACAAAGGTCAAGGTCACAGTGACCTTGAAATGAGCCCAAAATGGCTATTTTGTGCTTGTTAAACTCTCTCACTTTTGTTTTTGTCCCCCACCTTTTCGAAGAAAAAAGGGGGATATAGAAATAGGCTCCGTCCGTCTGTCCGCACTATAAACAGTTTAAATTTTCATGCATTATTGCACTCCCTGGTTTATCTTTACTTGTGTGTTTTTACAATTATAACCCTGAGAAAAAATGGAAAAAAAACAACATATTGATTTGTTTCATCTACAATCAAGTAAATCCCTATAACTATAATGATATGTGTATTACGATTTTTGCAAGAATGAACAATTTGTTTTGTTTTGTAATTTCAATAGTTCTTGTTAATAGTTCTTGTTAATACATGCATTTGACATTTCCCTGAAAAAACTAAATCTGGACTCAAAAGACTATGACTCTAGATTTCCCTAAAGGTGTTTACAAATTATGGGATTGTCTCATCATTTGAGTTCAGCTTCATTTTAGACTCAAATTTAGACATAAATTTCATATACTTTTACAGGTCCAAAATATTGAATTCTGTCCCCAGAATAGCTCAGATATCATGATTTTACATCTATTTTTTTTCAAATTTTCCCTTTGGTGCTCAAATCAAGTGGCCTCCTCAAATTCTGAAATAGCCTTCTGCACCAATTCCAACTGAAAACCCTGCAAATAGGTAACATAAGGCAGGGGTTATTGTTTGTTCATTTATAATGGCTATTGTATTGACAAATGCGTTTGTGTTCAAGTTACTTTTCATAAAATCTTATGTATCTTTTAGAAATTTACTGGCATGACATGCATAACTGATAGCAGCTCGGATTCGGACTTTGAACTGCCGATAATACCTTTTCCAAGAAACAATTGACAAAGCACACTTACAGAAGGCAGGGACGTGAGAAGTACAGATAACAATGATGTGAGATTTCCTCAAAAAAATTTCCTTGTACCTTTGTCAGTTCCTTAAATCCATTATCACTTGATTTTAGCTTGACACAATTTAGCTTGACTATGTACATGTATGATAATTGATATCAGTAAAAGAATTTGCATGAAAATGAGAGCAAGCAATTTGTAAACCATGCAAACATAAAATGGTATTTGGAATATCCAATACGTTGTCATAACTTTCTTAGAAATAAGCTATTTTTGTTAATTAGCCACTTCATCCAACGTCAAGGTGTTGTAAATTTCTTTTGTGCCTTTCCAAGGCTCGGAATTTGACATAGGTACATACAGGGTTAAAACCTTTCAGAAAAGTTAACCAGCCATTAAGTTGCATCCTTTATAGAATTAAGGGGTGCCTTAAAATGCTGTTTTTTTTTGCAGATAGATTTCAAACAAATGCATTGTGTAACAGTTAGTGTCTAGGGTCAATATCAGCAATGCTCACTGATGCTAAAAAAAATTTATACTCTTTAATGTTTGCTTATGAAAACTATTTAATAATTGATTGATGGATTTCATCTTTGGTTTTAACATACAAGATTGGCTTATAACGACTTAATACCACCATTTTGGCTTAGCAGGCTTTTGTTAGAGAACCAGTTTTGGGTATTGTGATCCCTTCCTGGATGTGATTTATTTTCAAAGTTTAAATGTAACATGTCCTGGAAACAAAAATATTGAGGTATTGTGTTTGGATCATTTTAAATTTTCCAAAGTGACGACTTTAAATTACTTTTTGCTATTTCATTCAGGGCTTGAATGTTATTCAGCTGACAGACATTGACATGCCAGGATCCTCATCAGATATTAATTTTGACATACAGGACATCTCATCATCTCAGGTAAGCAGTGTTATACGGTTATACCAGTTTGGTCACCTATGTCCAAGTGCTTAGAATAATTTCGAATTAGGGTCACCTTGGGTAAAAATCTGCTGGTAAGTAACAGGGACAAATCATAGAAAAATCTTGTAGGCCATAGTGTTGATGCAGAATTTATGAAAAATAATCACATGTAATGTTCAATTGGAAAGTATCGAGGCAACTCCATATCTAACGTCTTGATAATTTGTCTGAGACAAATGAGACAGGGTCCTCTTGTTTTGCTCACCTGAGCATGTTTTGCTTGTTTAAAAGTACATGTATTGGGATAGCCAGCTGTTTTCATTCTAACTTGCATGCCTCTGTTTGTCAATTGTCAAATAGTTCTTCAAACTGTGGAATTTGACCTGACATTACAATAATGATCCTTGGTTGACAACCTATTAACACAAATAACAACTTACTGGGAAACCTGGGAAATCATTTATTTTCGTGAGCCTAAATTTCACACAAACACGCTTAAATACCATTTCATGCGGTTTAAAGTTTAAGCAAATGCTGTGAAAGCAATAAAATTATTCTCCAATATTTCTACCAAAATCTTCAAAACTGTCTGCCCTTTTGATATTTATTCTTATTTCTAGAAAAGGTTAAAAACTAGGGTCTATTAAACAAATCCTAACATCCTTTCAAATTTTGGACAACGAAACAATATGGTTTTTATACCATGTCCCTACCTTAAACATCTTCATACTAGTTACAAAAACAAGGTGTACACAAGTGGTAATATTCATTAATTATAGTATTATATTCAATTAAAACGTCAAACATGTATGAAAACGTATGTATGCTTGTAAATACGGTGTGTCTGAATATTTGCACACACATCGTAGTGCAAAAAGCGTGAAAATTAAAGTAAGTGATTCCGCAGTATTTGAATTGGAGATAAGCCACCATCAGCTTGTGAATAGCAACATGTTTTTTTTTGTATTTAAAGGAAGTCAAACAAGAAGTTCAGGCATCACAACCAAGTCACAACCAAGTTCAATATGTTGCTGAAACACCTTCTGTAAGTAATTTCCTTCTCCTATGACAGTATGCTAAACTAAAGCAGAAATTAAAACACCAATAATTTAGAAAAGTCTTATCATTTGTTCCAGTCAAATCTAGAGGCATTTATTTTAAGTACAAATAAGTAACATGCATGAAAATGATCACATTAACTTATTCTGGGATAACCTGCCATCTCAAAGAGATTGTAAATTATGACATCAGTAATTATCTAGTTAATTACGAAAAATTGAACATTTTTGTCCTGATGTCTTTGTAGTTGATCCAAGTCACACAGGAAGTGCAGGCACCAAGTCCAATCCAATATGTTGATGAAACACCTTCTGTAAGTAATTAAGTAGAATTTATTCATACTTAATTATGTACTGATGCTACAATAATGGAGAGGTTATTGATTAAAAAGGCTGCTTTGTTCAACCTTCAACCTAAAAAAGACCATCACATCATCAGCGTAATGTATTCAACTTCATATGTCAATTGACATTATTGCAAAAATGTTTGACATGATGTGGATTTATATCAACATGCAGAAATTTAAATGGCAAGATGTCTTTTGGTATAATTGGTTTGACAAGCATATATTCTTGAAAATTGAATTTAGTAATATCATTTTAAAAATTTGCAGAAAGCTCATTTTCTCCTGGAAAGATGGCTCGCAGTTCTTTTATTCATGTACTGTGTTTGCTCTAATTTTAGCCCTCATTAATCCTTAATACACCTAGGTAACTAAACAGTGTAAGGGATAGACTGATAGGTGCTACCACAACAGCAGGGTTAGTCATCATCCAGGGCCCCTGAACTTCTTGCCATTTCAACTGTTTTTGCTTATCTGTATGAAAACAAAACAAGCAGTCTGTATTTATAATAATGGTTCTTATGCTAAATGATTGATGTAATGGCAGGCCTCGACATAAGCGGTGGTCCGTTGGTCCGAGACCACCTGATTTTGTCAAGGACCACCTAATTTTAAAAGCCACTGGTCCGTCGGACCACTTGAATTTTCTGGTTGGTGCAAGGCTCATTTGTTGGTCAAAAACATGTCATATACATTTTGTTTAAAATCATTTGTTCGATGTACATGTATATGGTTCATAAAAAATACAAAATACATTAATCTCTGATAAGTTGAAGAAGTTCTTAAGTCATCAATAACTTTCATTTTCAGACGCATATATTTTGTTTATGCAAGTTAAACGAGTGAAGAATTTGTGATATTAATTTTGGTACAAAGTTCATTCAAATGATGCTAGTAATTATGCATCGTCGGATACCCACAGAACCATTTATATTCATGTTCTGTTACATTTTAATCAACCGTGGGTAATGGGGATGGTAATTAGTATATGGTGTATCGGATAAACTTAAAATTTCATACACTTAACTTGAATAATGGCAGGAAACGAAAGGAACTGTTAAAAAATACATCTTGTAATTCTGTGCTTCTTTTCTTTATTTTATTTTAACTGTTTAACGATAAGAGATCCATTTCATCCAGAGTTAAAATTACTTGAAAAGGTTAAGTATTCAATGTCAAAAGTAAATATCAACTTCTGTATTCATAATAAATCAGTGAGAAAAATAAGAACTATAGTTATATATAACATTGTTATTATATTTTATCCTTTAGATATTTCCTTGTTTTCAAAGAAAAGAATAAGATAATTTATTAGTTTTATTAAAAATGTTTATCTATAAAAGATACATGCAATTATCATGATTATTAAGACGTACCCCGTATCAGCAATGTATATTTGAATAACAGTCAGAAAATAACAGACACAAATGGTTTCACTATTCCCTTGAATTGAGGCAGAAGTCATTTCAATATTAAAGTTAACATAAATAAGAGTCCTGTTGTTTATTTTTTATGAGATAAAGAAACAAACAAATAACTTCACGATAGAATACCTACTAACTTGCTCTACTTAATTTCTGATTAGATAAAAATATATATCTAAAATATCTGTTTTATTGAAGGTTAATAATACATTTTTGTCATCAATTTACGCATATATTTTTCTAAATTTGCAGTAAAATGATATGATAATAAAAATTGACCACCTGACAGCTGGAAGGACCACCTTAATTTCAAATCAAGTGGTTCGGCTTACCACCTGCTAAAAAAGTTAGTGTCGAGGCCTGAATGGTGAAAACATTTCAGTCAAAATTCATTTTGAACTGTTTAAAGATACATGTATAACACTGTCATGATGGAAAATACACATGCTTATATTATATTTCCAGAAGATAACTCAAAGGATATCTGAAGTGTCTTATGACAGATTCTAATTATAGCATATATAAAAAAATGTCATTTTGTTTACAGCGCCAGTTGCAGGTTGGTTCTCAGTCTGATGTGCTGTCTACATTTGAACAAGCAGGAACCCCTACTGTAAGTATATTTTATGGAAGCTCAACTTCCTGGAGGAATAAAGTGGTCCGAGGAGATAGAAGTATAATTGTTCTTATCCATATGGTGGCGTCCAGTTTTGGGGTCACTTAACTCTATTTCAAAACCATAAATACAAAATCCTACTGCACTGGACATCTTTGGTTCAACTTTCACATAATGGTAAACCATGACATGAAGATGTGTATAAATACGGAGACAAATCTAAAATCAAATTTTCAGAAAGGGGAGATAATTGAACTTAGAAATTTTGTGTATAAAATGTTTGTGAATGTATTTTTACTTCTACTAGACTTTTTGATAAAACTAAACACAGTTGTACAGTTTGATATTGCATACAACTCTCTTTAGATTAAAGAAAAAGAAAATTTGTCATAGTTTTAACAAGAATCAAATGATGACACTTCAAAGCAGACCACATATTTGCAAGGTCAAATATTTAGACCTCTCGATGTGTTTGTTCAAGTTCAGTTCAAAACCAGTGTCAGTGCCACAATCTCAGTTAATACAAAGCTTTAATTTACAGTCTGCTTTGTATGGAAAGAGATATACTGGGTTTGGTTTAGTTTCAGTAGAGTTGCAATAATTGTTATGTATATTTTATTTCATTTGTTTCAGGTGGCCTTAAGATCCCGACTTTGCATCGTCTGCTTCGATCGAGAACCAACATCATACTATTTTCCCTGTGGACACACCTCTTGTCTCCCATGTGCTTTACACTTGTTTGAAAATACCACTGCAAAGAAGTGCCCAACATGCCGGCAGACAATAAACTCCATAAGAAACATCTACAATGACATTTAAAGAATTACTATGTGCCATTGACAGTTGTCTAAAATTGTTATATTCTTTTTATATTTTTACTTCCACCTGAGCACAAAATACTGACAGGGTGAGCTATATTGTGGGCCTGTGTCTGTCGTCTTTCCTGCATATGTGCATTAGTCAACCATCAACAATTTCTTCATTTGATTACATATTGTCACGTCCAATTTGGTATCAGATGGTATTAGTTACAATTTGTAACAGCACTTGTAATTTCAAGAAGCATCCTCATGATTAGTTTAGTTATTTTAGAAATACAAAAAATGTGCTATTTTTCTTAGTTTTTAATTTTTACTAAACAAATGATTTTATTGTTAGCTTTTAAAGATTTAAAGTTACTGAATATTGTGTTCTTTTATAATTCAATCATGCTCAACCACCTGCACAAGGCATGTGCAATGTTTTTTATGTTTCAGATTTTATAGTTATTCTGTAGTAGTGCTATGTCTTATTAATTGTTTGCTTTGTAATAGTTAAAATGACTATTGTGTAGTTATTGTGTCACAAGAAACAGTTGTTAAAATATTGTATTATTTGGATGTTTATCGTTGCATCAGACTTGATTCTTCCAGTCAGCAAAATTACAGACTTCGAAACATCTTTATCATTTAATATACATCTTTAAAACTCTAAATTGTAAGGTGTTACTAACGCTTTATGGTCAAAATTAGTCTAATTTTAACTTTTTTCGATTTTTACTGCTTTTTTCTTGATACTTGATTATGAATTCAGCTCTGAATGTCATAAAATTTAAGAAAATTCTTAGAAAAGGGAATATAAAAATTTATTTACGCAAATCTAGGTCATAGGTTTTTCTTATATGTATATAATAAACCCTTAATAAAAATAAAATAAATACTTCTTCTCTGAATTGGCAAAGGTTACAGGTTATAGATATTTGGCATGACCTCTACCAAGATTGTTCAAATAATGGCCCTTGGGTCAAAATTAAAAGTAAATGATATATTTGGTATATGATATCCATAGGTCCTCTACCAAAGTTTTACAAATGTATATTTATTTATCTTTTAAAATGGGCTTTCTTTTTTAAATTATAGATAATTAATTTCAATCTTTTTGCTATCAAACGACTGTGGTATTAGACAAAACTAGTGTCAATGGATCAATCAACATTGTTAAAATTTTGGCACTCATTTAATGTTAGTCCTCTACTTGAGAGTCCTCAATTCCCAGAAAAATATTTAAAACATTTATTAAAACACAAGGAAGTGCATTTATCTAGTCATCAGGTGAGTGCTTTGGGAGGGACCTATGGCCCCCATTGTTCATACTTAATTTTGGCTCAAAGCATATGACCTGTATGATGAAAGAACACGTTGAAACTTTATAGGAAGATGTAACACTAATTTAGAGGTACAGTTTAGTTGAAGTTTTACTCAATATTTGTGTTTTTTGCTATGTAAATAGTCTATCTTTGACATAACTGTCAAATTTAGCCACCAGCACAAAACATGTGCTTTTGCTTTAGTTTGTGGCTTTCAGAAGTTGAAATTTATTTGTACTGTTAAGGAGACAGCTGTCTATAATTTAAACGGATTACACCACTTGTTTTTATTGTACCTAGGAAAGGTTTACATGACATTGTTTTTTTTATTTTTCCTCTTCTGTTTTCCTTATTTTACCTTGTGATGTATAAATAAAACCAGATTACCTGATTTCAGATTTTGACTTTTATCTTTATTATATAGTAATAAGTAAAGCTATCCTACTAAGCTTGACATTATATTGGCATTAGGCATCGGTGACATTCTAATGTGGTATGCCGTGCATTATCAACATCATGATAGTCGTTAGACACATTCAGTAGGTATTAGGTTGATTCAAACCAACTTGAGCTAAAACGAACACAAAATTAGGAATACTTGAGTGTAACCATTAGTGATAATTTTGAATTTGGAAAACACACATTGACAATTTCTCTTCGTTATCTATGAATACTCTAATTTACGAAAAGAAATCTAGAGGCAAAATTAGAATCATAACAAAACCTATGTACGGACTTGGAATACTGTAACACTGTTTGGCATCTGTGCCTAATAAAAACCATTCATCTATAAAAAAAAGAAATCATTGATAACTTTTACTATAGTAAAGTATAGCATATCTGAGTTATGGCTTTTTGTTGGTTTTTGATTATTTTTTTACCAACTGTTTTTCACATAACTAATTAACCAGTCAAGATAGCAACTTTAAACTTATAATATTTTTTCTGATCTGTAAATAGTTAAAACTTAAAAAATTATCTTGAAATTGACAAAGGCTTGAGATTAGATATTTTATCATTTTATGTTCAAATTATAGCCCTGGGGTCAAAATTGGCCCTACCCTGGTGTCATTGATTTTCACTATGTTCATAAAGTAAAAAATTAAAAAATCTTATAGTCTGAAGTTTTTTATTCGTTATTACGAAATATTTATTCGTTTTTACGAAATATTATTTCGTTTGAAATTACAAAATCATAAAAGCGTAATTTGCTTTGTGCAAACGTAACATGATTGTTTTTTTGTTTTTGTTTTTTTTCGTAAATAATAAACTAAAGTCTTCAAATGCAAGGCTTTAATATCAATGTTTTCAGACAATTTAAGGTCCAAGAATGACCATAATCATTAATACACTGAAGTGAAACAAAGGACGACCTTATACAGTTTCCAACTTCCAGGCAATGGCATTTAGCACTTACTGTTCAAGGCGAAAACGTTAAATATATTGGATTTTCCAAAGTCAAGTGTCAAGTTATTAATATTCATCTAGTTTTTCGGTCAAGGCTTGAAACAGAGAAGTGGCACTTTGAACTGTTTTTGGAGCAGGCAGCTCTTGTCTCGGGATTTCACACACATATTCCAGAATCAGGATAAATTCATCTGAACATCCAAACTGAGGTTTCCTTACAGTATATATCTCTTGCAAACAATTAATTGTTTGCATATCACAAGGGAGAGGATATGAATAATCTCGCGTTTCATATGCTTCTGGCTGGTAGTACATCACAGTCGGTATACCACTTGGTACCTCCGTGTGCCTTTGCTGTCGAATTCGATGCAAGTTCCATACTCGCGTAAAGCTGTCTAAGTCACGTTGAATTAATGGTAAGAAGCAATATCTTAAACACTCTAAATGCACAGGATCATCGGTCCTTAGCAAACCACGTTCGACCATATCTTTGAAATAGTTCCTCCAAGACACTGTAAAACCATGTCTTAAATTGACCCAGAAACGTTCGATCCTTTGGTTAGCTGTTGACCTTCCAGTGATAAAACTGTTTATTCCAGACATGTTATCTCCATCGTCATACCTTAATGCTGTCTGTAAATCACGTACAGTCACGTTTTCAGTCCCTGCATCAGAACGTATAAGACGCGGAACGCGACCTGTACGTTTAAGGAAATTGACAAAGAAGCCAGCGATTATTCGGGGGTCATTATTTGAGTGGCATGCTTCTTACCATAAAATATATCTAGAAAATCCATCAATGGCTCCGTGAATAGCGACGCCAAAAGGTTTCAGCTTATCGTAGCCATCAATGTGTATAGAAAAGTTTGGACCTTTATTGATATAAGTTCGGCGACGTAAGCGATGTGCAGATCTCAAAGTAACACCTACAGGATCAATAGCCTTTAAGACAAGTCTTGTTGTTTCTTGTGTAACTTTAACATTTGTTGTTGTGTTTACTATTTTCCATATTGTTTTATAACCACAGTCAGCAAATCCTCTGTTATATACTGCACGAATCTCGCGTATTACATCTCGTAAAGGAGAAGAAGCACCGCGTCTTTTCGGTCCTAACCTTCTGAGTATCCGCTTCATTTGACTTAAGCTGACAACAGTATTGTGCACCAATAATAAGAATCCACATATGTCTAAATGGGAATAACCTTGTCGATGATAACAAGAAATCAATGCATCTCTCTGTCCATTTTGAAGAACCGCTTCAGTCGATTCGAATAGCGACAAGGCCAAGAAAAGGCATACCTGCATATAAAACAGAAGACATATTATTCAGGGATGCTTATATTATCAAAACAGAATGGCGGAAAGTTCATTAAAAATTAGCAATTGGTAGCAGTTTAAGATTAAGCCAACGCCTGTTGTTTCCCATGTCTCATTGTTACATTCAAGTGGTGGTCTAATCTGTCAGAACTATAAAGTAGGAGCCGACTGTCTGTGCACTTACTACCATTCTGGTAATTTATTCAAGTATTATATGATCAAGTAAATGTTGCTTTTTTCTCAATAACAATACTTTCTATAAATTGTGTAGAGGATGATAATGCAACATAAAAAGATTGACAAATACAAAAAACATATAAAAAAAAACATTTGGAATAAAAATATAGATTAATTAAGAATTTAGTACCTGTATACGTTGCATAACTTCCGTTTAGCCAGACGGTAAGTATCCTATGAGGGTAAGAAGCATTATAAAAAGCAGTTTTTTTGTCGTCGTAGGTTATGACGCAAAGCTGTAAATAAATGTTCAAGTAGGGGGAATATATATTCCAGATGCTCGACTATCACGTTAAGTCGACTTATTTCTTTTTGACAAAAATATTTATATAGGAATGAGATAAAAAGATTTTATCAACATGCTTATAAGAACTAGGTAAGTCAGGGAAGAAGGATGTACAAATTATGTGGATAAGCTGACATAGCATACGTCGGCATGGCATATTTTAAAATAATGTTGCATTAACTTATGTCAGAAAAATAAGCTTACGTAGACAACTGGTACAGTTCATTTTCTTTCGTTATCATAACAAGTCGACTTACCTAAAGTAGACTTAATCATATCATCATGGTGTACCTTATACGTTTCCATAATTTACCGTATACCTCCGAACTAGGTAGAGGCAATCTATTGGATCTGCTCTTACGACACCTTTACCAAGAAATCTCACATGTCCAGCTACACACATTTTTTATTATTTTATTTTTTGTGTTAGCTTGTTCATATAATTATCCCCACAAAAATACAAACTGAGTCATGTTATATGGTATATGACAGTGTTGTGCAATTGCTGCTCATATACAATGTACGTCGTATGACCGTTTTATAATAATCTTTAACATAATAAAAATTATATTGATTTTACTATTACCAATCAATAAATTTTAGATATTTGTCATCACTACAGCAATCTGTCATCACTGCAGTTATCTGTCAGCACTACAGCAATCTGTCATCACTGCAGCAATCGGTCATCACTGCAGCAATCGGTCATCACTGCAGCAATCGGTCATCACTGCAGCAATCTGTCATCACTGCAGCAATCTGTCATCACTGCAGCAATCGGTCATCACTGCAGCAATCTGTCATCACTGTAGTAATATGTCATCACTGCAGCAATCTGTCATCACTGCAACAATCTGTCATCACTGCAGCAATCTGTCATCACTGCAACAATCTGTCATCACTGCAGCAATCTGTCATCACTGCAGCAATCTGTCATCACTGCAGCAATCTGTCATCACTGCAATAATCGGTCATCACTGCAGCAATCGGTCATCACTGGAGTAATCTGTCATCACTGCAGCAATCTGTCATCACTGCAGCAATCTGTCATCACTGTAGCAATCTGTCATCACTGGAGCAATCTGTCATCACTGGAGCAATCTGTCATCACTGGAGCAATCTGTCGTCACTGGAGCAATCTGTCATCACTGTAGCCGGTAATACCGTGTGGTCGTTGAATTTATAAAGGAAAAAAACTACTGTATTTAAATTTCACTTGGTATATAATATAATCTTTGAAAATATATACTGATGTACTGATCTTGTTAAATGACAAAAATCGCATAAACATTAACAATCCGGAAGAGAAACTTATCATGTTATGAGATAAACGTCCTTCGATCAAGATTAAACTACGCAATGGTGTAAATCGGGTTTTCTAGCTCACGTCTAAATATAACTAAATAAGTATAAAATAATATCAGTAACCTGCGTGCGATTGAATTGATATCACGTACATATTTGAGTAAGTAAATTTTATTCTTTTTACTTTGTATCTTTATATTTTGTAGTTTTTACTGGATTTTGATTAAGTTTATAGGTTAAGTTTATCAGTATTTATCAAATTACGCTACTTATATGTTTCTTAAAATTATTATACATTTTTCGATAACCTTATTTATGAGCATCTTCGGCTTTTAAGATAGCCAACATTAATGTCCGTAAATTAACATTTTTTTTTGTGTGTTCGACCGTTAATTACCAGAAGATGTCGGCTGCTGTTATGCTGTTTTTTTTCCATTTGCTTATTTCGAAATTCGTTTAATAAAAGTATTATATTTCGAAGCAAACAAATGAAAACATACAGCAGACACTATGAGACCAGATGGAGTACGATATGCATTTGATATAAAGATTTTGGATTTTTCAAATGAAAACGAGGCTGTATAGGGTACGATAGAAAGATCGACCGGAAGTAGTATTTTTCGCGCCTATACAGTCTGCAATACCTAGAGCTATATTTATTCTATATTTAGTTTTAATAGTTTTTATAATCATTTTTTCCCTTTCGATTCAGGTACATGTAAAAAATGGAACACATAATGCACTCGCAAATTCTACACGAGTTGAAAGTATTATCTGACAGAGTTGCAACTATTCAAGATGAAATATCCATTTTATCTCGCCAGTTTTCTGATCACATATCAAATTGTCAAAGTACCAATGCTGAATGTTTAGCACGGAAGAGCATAGCAAATGAAGACAGCAAACGGCCGACAGAAAATTCCGACCATGAAAATACATGTATTTTATCGTGCAAAGATCAAACGCTGGAAAAATCACTGAATTGTAATTCTTGTCAGTCGTCACCTAAAGAAGATTGCCAATCGAAGGGCACAGACGCACGGAAAACCCGTGCAGGAGAAAACGGCGCTACGCCTTCAAATACAGGACATGTTGATATTGCTACAAACGAGAGAGGTAATTTGTTTTTGTCTGTTTGCACGTTAGTACGCACGTGCGTTCGTTCGTTTGTTAATGTGTATGTTGTTTGTTGATATAGTTCAATCATTTAGCTCGCGTTTTTCAATTACTTATTATACCGAAGCTTTTGTGGAGTCTGTTCAGGTATTAACATATATATTTCTCAAGTAACTGCCATCTCCCCCACACTTATTTTTGTGAATGCTAGAACCGAAAGTTTATTAGTGTTTTTTCCCCCTCCAGTATAGAGCCAGGTAAGTCCTGCATCCTCGCAATATGGCCAGGCTCTTTAATGTTCCCTGACCAATTTTTTATCTTGATTTCCTTAAATTGATAATGGACAGTTTCAATATTTTAAACTGATTAAGTCTGTTTAAGAAATTCAGTAGGTTAGGGTTTACGATTTGACAGAAAACAACAACAACATTATTCATGTATTCGTAAGCCTGATCACCACGGTAAATACACAATCCTCACCCAGTCACCCAATCTCTGCGGATGTAATGTCTTATATTCATGTCAATTATAACACCGGTCCCAGTCCCCGGGGAGTATCAATGGGGTGTGTGTGGTGTTGATGAGCCAAGTTCTTTATTTCATCTGTCCTCGATTTTGTATTGGTACAAAAATAGTGCGGGATATTTTCAACATTAGTATCGACTGTCTCACCTGGTCGTGGACCTTTATACATGTAGCAGGGGGGTTTATATTGTAATCCCGAAGATCATGAAAATTTAAATATTATTAATTTCAAATTGTAACGCGGAGTTAACCGCAAGTAAAAACGCGGAGTTAACCGCAAGTCCTCCTAGTTTATGAATAACGATATCATAGGGAGATTAGCAATTTACCGTGTGATTTATTTCTTATATTTCATATAATAACTTTCAAACGTCATTACAATATTAAGTAACTTGTATGCATCGCTGCGTTAATAACTCGTCTAATGTCTGTCTACCCGGATCTTATACATTACATTTTAAGTGATTTTTGATACGAATCTGTGGGAAACGTGAAACTGATATTTTAAAAGTTTTCATGATATATGATTACATATTATGAAATAACTTTTCGCTGAAAAAAAACGAGTCACGATTCGCTGTCAATTTACATGTTCTAGATTATTTTCCAGTACAAATACTAAAAGGAAAAAATGATTATTTCAAATTAATTTCATATTCCTCTCCACGGGTATCAGTTTTTGTGTGTGAAAAGGTGTCTCAAAAAATCAGTGTGTCTTGCTTGGTATAGACCCTTTAAATCAAGACCATGTATAGAAAAACATTTCACTAATATCCATCATACGTCCTTTTTAACAATTCAATTATTTTAACATAGAAATTTATGAATGAAGTATTGAGAAATATTGATGAAATAAAATGCGTATTTTCATATTCCGTATTTTCACTGTAAAAATTTATTTTTCCCTGGAGTTTAACATTTTCCTGTATTTTCCCTGCAATATTTAACGGTGAGAAAGTCAAATTGTAATATCAAAAAGAAGTCGAAAAAAATAATAGAAAAAATGTATATAATAAACAGAAAATTAAAGTTGTTTTCTATAAAAAAACAGGATTTATTTTCATCTTGTAGTATGAAAATTATAATATTTCATACCACTCTAATCCCGTAGAGAAAAAACTTGAATATTTGACATGCATAAATTTCTAGGTTTAAACGTTTTACTGATTTAGATAATGTTGTTACAACATTTGACCCAACCTTTTTTCGCAATTACAATGTTTTATTGTGTATCATTGTGGAATTTTATGTATAACTATAAGTTACTAATTCAAACCGAAACTGATGCAGTTCTAAAAATAGTATCAAATTACACTTAAAATACTTGCAATTGCGGAAAAGTTAATTTAAAACGATATGCATGCATTATCTATATTTATTGTCTATATTTATTTATCTATATTTAAGTCATAACCACGTGCAAACTGATCTCATCTACTTGTATAACACCCCATCCCTTTGATAGAAACTTTAAAAATCCTACAAATCATTTTTTTTAAATTATAGATAAGATTATGACCAATCTACTAAAATATAAAATATTTTGAAAGGAGCGGTTACAAATAAAGTTTTCATTTAAACCATGTGACTGAAAAGATCTCAAAATGTCTGGGAAATCTTGTTTTCTTTTCTCTATATAAGATTGATTGAATGAATGAATGAATGAATGAATGAATGAATGCATGAATGAATGAATGAATTGATAGGGTTTTGCATGAGTTGATGAATGAGTTGATAGATATAAAGAGAGCAAATAATATAAACAAAATATAAATACTGGAAAAATTATAAATTGAATAAAAAAATTTATTATTCCATCAAACGATTCTATACATTTATTTATGCCCCTCGCAGAAATAATTCTATAAAAATCAATTCAGAATTTTTTTTCTGTATTTAATTTCAGAAAAAGACGTTCATTTGTTGTGCAGAAAAGGTTCAAAGAAAATAAAGCAGGATTGTTTAAGGAAAGCTATACAACAGAACATTGTCTTGCTGGTCGATAATTTGTCATGCTCAGAAACTGAGATAATCGACACTATGATAGCGTCCGATTGTTTAACGGAAACAGAAAGTTCTGATCTCAGAAGAAACGGAAGTAAAAAAGATTGCGTGCGCAACTTGATAAGAATTGTTCGCGGGAGGTCGTATAATGTTTTGAAAACTTTTGTGAAATGCGTCGAGAACTTCCATCCTGATGTTGCTGAATCGATCTCACAAGTTTATGAGAAACTTATGAAGGACAGGAAAAATTACATTAAAAGGTGTACATTTTGTGATCTTAAGACGTCGGATAGCATTAAAATGGTTGCGGATCATTTGTGGGGCATTGATGCTATTTCTGATTCACTGTATGACGAAATCGTCTCCGAAAACAAAAGTAGAGAAGAACTATGGGAAAAGCTTGCCGATGAAGTGAACAGAGGGAACGCCCATCACAATGCCTTGAAAAAACTTAGTAGAGTATTGGCAGAAAGAGGCCACTACAAAGACTTGTCCTTAAAACTGAGTAAGATGTCTTTTTTGAAATGCATGTGCTTTAAAGAAAACAGTTCCATAAAAACTGAGGGTCAATTAACGCTCAACATTCTGGTGACCGATGTGGACGAAATGTCAACTGCTTCCCCTTTGAGTACCCCGACCAGTTCACTGAGCTTAGTGGATGAAACCGAAAACGAGGATTGGTTCGTTGCAGACGACAATTCTCCCGCCAATAAACACGAGAACTACTTCCTGTCTCCGAGGGCAGCTGTACGTGACAAACAGGATTCTTCTATTGGACTCAGGAAAAGTTTAACGTTCAGCCAGAACACTATAGATCTAGCCGTAGAATTTCGAGCTGCACGATCAAACAGTTTTGGTAAATCTTCTAATATAAGGGGACGTTCACAGACACTTGCGAATCGGAGGGCATCAATGTTTATTTAAATCATGGAAATATATCCGTTAACATTTAGGAAGATTTTTCCCCTTCTGTTTATGAAACAGTTTAGGTTCTTTCAACTTTTAACATTAAACAGATGTGTGCTAAATATATCAACAGTTAGTTGACAATTAATATGGAACATATCGCAAGAAATAAATATGCCGTCGGAACTGTTGACTGCAAAGTACACATTCAAGTAGCAAGACGTTTACAGTGTTATTATGCAGCATTTTTTTTTATATTTTAGATAAACAAAGAGAACATTTATTATTATACAAATCCTCATATCTAACTGACATTTCCAGAAAATACTGTCTATAGAAACGTAGTTATGTTACATTACTGTTATACATTGACTTGGCTGTTTCATATCTTGTGTTATTAAGCCATCATGAATGCTCAAAAATTGCATAATTAGCGGAAAGAAAATTTACAAGACAATTTTTTCGGTAGATGTAATCATATTTTAACTTCTGAAATTAATAAACACTCCACTGTATATTTAAATGTATTTCACATGCCATACACAAACTTTGCGCTTGAAATTTTTATGAACATATTTATTTTAATTTTATTAAAATTTGTTCACAAGTTTTTTATATGTTTTATGCATTTTTTCTTGCATAATATAAATATTGTAGGTTCTTCCTTACAGTGTAGAATATTCTAAATTACGTCATAGTTAGCATACAAGTGTGTAGGGTTATTCCATATTTTCTTTTCCATAATCTATCAATATACAGCCTCTGTTAAGTTAACAGATTTAATGATTATGCCTATGCTCCCCTTATATACACAATCGGAAATCTAATATTAAAGGGCAACCGAATGTCCTTAATACAAGTCCCACAAATAAAAAGGAAAACGTCTTCGTCACAGTAACTTGTGAAGAAACAGGTATTACACGTTAACCGGTTAGTTATCAAGAAAAGACGGTTAACTCACAGCCGAGAGATGACCAAAAATGTGTTAAAATCTGTGTAAAGAACAAGTAAACATACAAACAAGCCGCAGCCATTGGGATTAAAGTGATTAGATGCCGGTGACCACGGAAGTCCTTATTAAAGTTACTAACAGTATCAAGCTGGTTAGCAATAAAAATGATTACATGTATATAAGATACAGGTAAAACAACCGGACCATTTAGTGAGACAATTATCAACAGACAAATAAATCGTGGTTTTGGGCTCTTTCTATGTCCTCCACACACCCATATGGAGTTAGGTCATGTTTTGGCTAGTATTTATAACAAGTCTGAGATTCTGATATTACCTCACCTTTTGTAAGCGTAATTCGGGCAAAAAATAGTGAAAATCAGCAAGTTTGACCTATGACCCACTCAAGAAATCGAATTAAATGTGATACTTCCTTTTATTTGGAACATATATTGTTGAACCTCCTCTGGTAAACAAGAAACTCTCTGTAGAACACCATGCTCGACAGTGTTTGATAGTAATACAATAGCCTGGAAAAAGTAAAACAAGATGGCCCGGAGTCGCTCACCAGAAACAACTGCTTTTCAGTGTTGGATCCATTTTCAATATTTTCTAATATCAAATTTGAGCATAGAATATGTTTAAACAATAATTTGTGAAGAAATGCAATGACATGGGACATTTAAGCTTTAGCTTAAACGGGGCCAATCAAATTAATATGAGCAAACTTGATAAAAGACTACCTAAGAATGCTACAAAGTTTGGTGATCATCTATCAATTATTTCAGTAGGAAATGATGTTCAAAGGTTTTTCTATTTTTAGCTTTAGTGGTACCTAAAATCAAATTAATATGAGCAAACTTGATAAAAGATTAGTTCTGTAGAAGATGTCTAAAGGTTTTTCTTTTTTTAGCCTGAGAGACCCCTAAAAAGGGCCAATCAAATTAATATGAGCAAACTTGATAAAAAGAGTACCCAAGAATGCTTCAGACAAAGTTTTGGTGATCATCCATCAATAAGTTCTGTAGTAGAAGATGTTTACAGGTTTTTTTCTATTTCTAGCTCTGTTGACCCCTAAAAGGGGCCAATTAAAATGACTGTCACAAGGATGCTGCAGACCAAATCTGAAGTAAATCTGCCCAGCAGTTTCAGAAAAGACGATTGTTGACGCACGACGACGGACGACGAAGCATCCCCCTTTGATACTAATAGCTCACCCTGAACCTTCGGTTCTGGTGAGCTAAAAAGGGTCATAGTTTGATTAAAATCCATTTCAGCGTTATGGGTCTCAAACAGTGACCTCCTATTAAAAGTTTGTTTAGTTTTAACCCATTCCCTTGTAGTTGTGGAGATACCAACTTGAATGCAAAAACTTTACCTAAGTGTGACAGGGATGCCAACACCTTAAACACAAGAACCACACCTATACATTGTATAAAGACAAAACAAAGAATTCAATCTTTTCAGCTTTTATTGAGTCTCTCAACCTTTTATATAATTTAACATAGCATTAATTTCATTTCGAACTGCTGATATTTTAAATATCCATTTTACACAAACTTACAGAACTGACCATCATGAAAATTATGTCATATAAATATGAACAGTACAATCTCACTTTGACAATTAAGTTCTAGTGGGGGAATATCTCGTTTGCAGTAAATGTTAGTTTTGAACTTTTTTTAAAAAAAAAAGTGGAATAAAGAAACACAATAACAACTATCTTCCATCATTCCTAAATATAAGTCTTTATAAGGAAAATTCAAGTACATGTTTTTTTTCTTTTCTTCTTCATAAAATTTATTTTTTAAAGACCAGAAAAAAAGTCAATATACAGTATATAAAGTTAAATAAATCCTGATTTATCTGTCACCCAGTTTCATCTGTCTGACAGGAATACTACTTGAGATTTTATCTCCTAAATCTGTTGATAAAAAGGAGGGAAAAACACAGAAAATTTCCTACATTTGACCTTTAAGGTCAAGGTCATATAGGGTTTAAGGTCATCTTTCAATATGCCAAGATGACACTCTTTACCTTTAACATGCAGGAACTAAAAATGTTTGACCTTAGTATTTACTTACTTGACCTTTGTATTTACTTTAGTTGATCTTTGTGTTTACTTTACTTGACCTTTGTTTTTACTTTACTTGACCTTTGTGTTTACTTTACTTGACCTTTGTGTTTACTTTACTTGACCTTTGTGTTTACTTTACTTGACCTTTGTGTTTACTTTACTTGACCTTTGTGTTTACTTTACTTGATCTTTGTGTTTACTTTACTTGGCCTTTGTGTTTACTTTACTTGACCTTTGTTTTTACTTTACTTGACCTTTGTTTTTACTTTACTTGACCTTTGTGTCTACTTTACATTAAAGTAAATTAAAATTATACTACAGTAATCTATAACCTGCAGAATTTCTAAAAATAGACTTGCCTAACTTTGAATCTGGATCATTCCATTCTAACTTTAAAATGACATTATGATCATTTTTTGATGCCAAGTTCAGCTGAATTAGTAATATATTTCTAAAGATTCACTTTCATATTGATGATTGACTGATAAATGATTATAAAAAAAATATTAAGGATAAAATATAAAACTGCCTAAATTATAAAAAGACTGCCTTACTCTTTTTTTAAATTGAACGCTTTTGACACTTTTCGCGAACATTATTTAGAGAACTTTTCATGGGTCAAGTGGGTTAAAGAATATTCTGTGGGTTAAACTATGAAATTACACACAATTATGGCAAAATGTAAAGTTGTTTTGCGTTTTACCTGTACTGTCACCATTTACACTTCCATAGCCATAATATCGCTTTAAGGGGATTTATTGATCAAAATACAATTAATTAGCGACATACAGTATAGAGCCATGGCAGCCTGCACACCCTTTCAATCTGACCAGACTAGTGGAAGCTTACTTTTTTTGTATTTTGATATTGAAATCCCTAAAACTTTGAATGGAATGTTCCAAGTTTACATACACATGTACGGCCAAGTCCATTAATGGGTAAAGGTTAATTGTTATTTACTGGTGAACAGAGTAATATTTCAAAACGTGATTTAGTCATTATGAGGGCTCGGTTCGAAACGGTTTGTAACTCATATTAAATAAAGGTGGAGTTATTAAACTTTCACACCAAGCTGTCAATTAAATTCATAGTTATTGATGGATGTAATTCTATAGATTGTACGTTGATAGTGCTATACATAACCTCTTCATGACTGGAAACTTTCTTAAAATAAATAAACAAGCTATGTCCAGGTTATCTGCATGATAATAAATTTCTGTTCATCTGCATGATAATAAATTATCAGTTTGCCCCTACATTTCCTGGTGTTGCTATAGTTTCGCCTAGTTCTTCCAAAAGTTCTTTTCTATAATCACTGAAATCTCCGTCCACTTCGTTAATAGTTCTATCTTCTACCACCCATAAAGTACAGTTTGTTTCACAGATTAATCTCTGGTCATGACTAACGATCACCACACCTGAAATAAGCAAAGACATGGTGATAAAATACTAGTAAAGCTAAATGCCTTCGCCATATGAGTAAACAATTTCAAGAAAATCAAACTTTAAAAAAATGCTTAAGCAAAAAATGAGTCAAGTAACGTTAATTGTTTACATGTGATTAATGAGAAAAATGTACTACAATTAAAAGAAAAGTAAAAAGATTGAAGATTGAAGTAATAGTCAACATGCCATGTGCGATTAAGGACTGATTTTGCAATATGTATCACCATATTCCTACTGTGTGACTAACATGACTATAGCAGTATGAGCATTTTTTTTGCAGATATTGATAATCTTTTTAGTAATTTACGGCAAGTTACTTTTTTTGTTCACTTCACACTATTTTACTTTTAAAAACATTTTCAAAATTTTCATGAAAATTAGAATGAATCTTGAGGCATGCTGCTTTAAACTCTGATTTAGTATTATGGGAAAATACAGTAAAATCAAGGGATATAACTCTACATAATCATTTCATTAATAATGGGCAATTACTTGTCGTGAAGGGAATTGACCCTAAAATAAACTAAAACAAAGAGCAATAATTGAATGTACTTAAATGACGGGCATTAACTTTGTCATTCTTAAAATTGAGTGTATTTATTCTGCCTTAACTCAAACCAAAGGTATTATATCTGTATATTCTAAAATGGGTGCCTTTAGTTTACGCTTTCTCATCATTAACATTTTTTCCAGTTGTTAACTTTGTCCTAAATTCAAGGTCATCAACTCTTGTCTATTTTCGAATTCATCATTACAAGAGTGGATGTTCTTGAGTTGATGTAGATAATCAAATACAAACTGTCTTCATGGAAAACATTAACTGCCTTACCAATAAAATACAAAATCTGATAAATACATTTTAACACTTTATTGTCAATTTTTTTTTATCCGTCCTGTAATAATGATATCTTTTGAAATTAGTTAACAATGAATTCTTTCTTAAGATGGCAAGTACATGTATGTGAATATTGTAAAAGTGGCGAAAATCAGGAGTAAATCGTATCACGACAAAAGTTGAAAGGGTCCAAACTTTAACAAAGAGTTAGTGTTAATATGATATTTTCTGCTTCTGATAGAATACAATCTAGGAAAATAATGTAAATTTATTTGGTAATTCTACTCAATGTTGGTCGTAAGTATTAAAGTTATACTTAACCACTTTTAAGCATTCTATTAGTAGTGGTATTTAAATCTTTAAGTATGTTCTTCCTGAAACTATTAATCCATCACATAAACATCAAACAGAAACCTAACAAAAAAAAACTTCTTAACCTACAATTGTTTGTTTGTTTGTTTGATTGGGTTTTACGTCACACCGACCCACAATTGACTGCTATACTTAAAACAACTAAAATTCTTTCTAATGCCACTTTAAAGGTCTCACGTTTTGATACTTTACTTGGAGCAAATTTTAAGTACCAGTTATTACTTAAGGTAGACCATGGGTAATGCATTACCTAAACTTAGAAGAGTATTCAAATAGACTGGAATTACTTGCCAACTACATTGAAATTGAGGGGCGTGAGAAACTCCAGAAGGGTCAACTTTTTTTTTCTTTCTGTTTTTCTTTTTAACATTATCTATTTATCTCTCTGATCCTTTATGGAAGAAAAAAGGGTTTGATTTAAATTATATAATTTTTGTAGGTATTAATTTGCTAAATAATACCAGAATTTATAGCAAATATGATACCAGATATTTTCAAAGTTTCATAAAATAAAAACTACACGGTAAAAGTATTTTATATTTCGCATGATCAACCAATATACCTTTAAGAAAATTTAGGCAAACTTTGAAAACAGCCCCTCATTATGGTAAATTTCAGGGATATTTTGAATAAGGCATTTTATATAGGGAAATGGTAAAATTAGTGTTTAAAGTGGGTGGGGTAGGGTAACATTTTTATACATATTAAGAACATTTTGTTTAGAAATAAACATTTTGCAGAAATAAACATTTTGCTTGTGTAATTTGTTACCTGAATGTTACTATTTGTTTCTTAAAAATGAGCAAAAGAAGAACATTTTTTAAAATGATGATTTTACAGATTTTTTAAAGTTTCCTCATTTCTGAAAATAAGCCCTTTTAATGACAAAGTCTTAGTTCAGAAATATATCCATAACTCATAAACCACACGGTAAATTTTATTTAAATTTTGCATACAAGTGGCCTTGAAGACATATAACTGTCCTATGTTGTCAATTTTACAGTTCCTTATGGTGCCTATTACCCATGGTCTACCTTAAGGAACCCCACTGAGGTACAAAGGCCTAAAAGCATAAAATTTCAATTGATTATGATATAGTTCAGCTGATGCACTTAAAACTGAAGGATATGCAAAAGATAATTAGGAAATATACTCAGAATTAATTGAAAATTAATGTTTTGTGCAATTTTTAAGGCTGGTTTTGAGTGAAGAGTTGCGACACTTTTCATTTTTGGTCGTTTAACACAATTAAAATGATGGGGTGAAAAACTGCACATGAAAGTTATTGCTCTACAATACATCAATTTATACACAAGTCTGAGAGAAATATTTCCAGTCCTGTCTCAGTGGTGTCCCATTAGCATTGTACTGATCACAGATGTTGAACAAATGTACATGACTTGTGTGTATATTTTCTCAAAAAAAAATAAAAATAAATAAATAAAAAATAGCAGTGTTGAAATACATAAAATAATATTTGAAAAATTAACAAACTCCATATTTTCATTTTTTTCGGTGATGCATTCAATGCTTGCATATCATCAGCTGAATATTTTAATCATAAATGTATATACAGTCAAACTTGTATTAAGCGACTGCGCAAGGGAAACACCCAAAATGGTCGCTTAATGAAACAGTCTCTAAAGACAAAGAATGATAAAAAGTCAAAATTTATACATGACATCTTTCTTTTGGTGTGGGAATGTTTTTCAACTTCATTTATATAAATGTTTAATAATTAGAATGCTCCGATAATCTAAATGGATGCTAATGTAAAAAAAATAACATTCTGATATTTATTGACAAATAAGTACATGTTTGAGATTTTTCCAGGATTTTTAAACTTCTTTGTTGTATTTCCTTGTCTCCAACACGAAACCCCTGATAAGTGAAGCTTTTTTCTGTTGTGCATTTTTCATTTGAAATAAACAAAAAACATCTGATTGTAACGATAAATTAAATTGCTGATCAAGTTCAAAGTCAATACAATGCAGTCTAAATATCAACAGCTAAGCGTATACACCAACTGAGTAGGCATTGTTTTATCGATATTATTGGATAATACACGTCACGCGTATACTTACCTTTATTGCATACACTATAAAATGGTTTGGCAAATAGAGTTTTTCACACATTTATATATGGTGTTTTGATTGTTGACACTTGTGACATTACGAGGCGGCTTTCTCTAAAAACACAATTACTTGACAGGTAAAAGTGGTCGTTTCATGAAAAGATTGATCTCCATTAGCTGACTTATTAGCGGTCGTTGGTCGTGTTGAGCAAAAGTCGCTTAATACATTAAAGATATAGAGAGAAAATGAACGGGGGAAATTGAAAGTGGCCACATAAGACAGAAGTCGCTTAATACACGTGGTCGCATGGGCAAGTTAGACTGTACAAATGTATATTTAGGAAAAAAAACAAGCTTACCTCCTGTAAAGTCATTTATAGCTTCAGCTAGGGCGTCTATTGACTCAATGTCAAGATTATTTGTAGGCTCATCCTGAAAAATTTAACATATATTTTTCTTAAGTGAAGCCTGGTCCAAAAAATGTTAAATTTGAAAAAGTTTATTGAACGTATTCTGTATGAAAACTATGACATTTAACAAATTTATAAAGAATAAAACAACCAGGGTAAGAACATCCTGCTAACAGAGTCAAAGAGAAAAGTCTCGTGAACATCTCTAACACAGTGCCAAATTTAAAAAGCGACCGCAAATTGGTAGCTCAAACCTGTGACCTATGCTGTGACTAAAAGGTTGGATTTGGGAGCCTGCATAAATCATTGCGAATTCTGCAAGATGTCTCAAAGTTTGTTTGTTTTTCTATTTTTTTTATGCTCATTATTTATCACATTTTTTGTCATATCTCCGTGGTCAATCCACCTAACTGGCTTTCCTGAATAACTAACCAGAAATTACTGGTCAATGTATTCGCAAGCAGACCTGGGGATGATTACATTGATTAGAAATTGATTTAATTACAATTACTTTCAGATATGATTGTAATTCATAATGATTGATAACTCAGACTTGTCTCTGTAATCAATTAAATTACAATTACTTTAAGAGATTAATTGATTGATAATTGATTACATTCAATATATAACTGTAAAACAAAGGTTAAACTGTATCACAAGAAATAAAGGCATCCATTGAATTTAAATATTTTCCTGTTAATTCTGATAGTAATCCATGTCAATCAAATTGCAATCATAATTACTGGCTGCATTTAAACAATTAAACTAAACTATAAATGTGCTGCGTCAATACAAAACCAACATAATGGGTTTGCAACCAGCATGGATCCAGACCAGCCTGCGCATCTGTGCAGTCTGATCAGGATCCATGCTGTTCGCTATCAGTTTCTCTACTTGTAATAGAGTTGGTAAGCGAACAGCTTGGATCCTGATCAGACTGCACGGATGCGCAGGCTGGTCTGGATCCATGCTGGTCGCAAACGCATAACGTTGGTTTTGTCGTGACGCGGCTCAAATAGGAGAACACATACAAGAACAAGGACATCAGGTTGTCTACACGTCAGATCTGCGAGGGCAACTCTCGCTTTCTGTCCACCGGATAAATCACGGTTCTTTATTGTATGAGCATGTCCGGGTAAACCGAAACTTCCTAAAGTCTTCCTACACAGTTGATAGTCCATATTAAAATTTCTCTGTAAATAAAATAAGTTTTTATATTTGTATTTTATTCATACTATTATAGACACAATGCTGATACTATGTGACATTTTATGATCTGTGTGGAAGAATTCAGTATTTTTAAAGGAAAGTGAAACCATGTGCTTGACCAATCAGAAATTCAAACAGTTTTACTTTACAAAAAAAAATCAAAAATTCCAGAATACATACTTTCCTCGACACTTTATCCCATAAAAAATAATGAAATATTAAAGTTAATATTGGCAGAAATAAATAAAATCTGGGCCGTCTTTTGTATTGGTTTTCTTCAAAAAAATATATTGTATAACACTTTGATAGAGAAAGGTTTAAAAGTTTTCATTAACGCCCCCCCCCCCCCAAACCCAAACAAAACCAAGTGGATAAGCGTTATTTAGTTGACATTTGACCTTTGAAAGAGAAGAACAAATTTTATATCTTAATTGTTTTAAATAGGTTAAATCAAAGATAATAAAGACAAGTTAACATTTAGTGGTCTTTAAAACAAAGTTTAACATACAGTGACATTTTACTTGAAGGACTTATAATTTCTCAATTAACCTTAAATCTGATATAAAACTTTGTGTTTTTGTCAAAACTATATTTCCTCATAAGACACTGGTGCTTGTCAGTTTAATGAAGTGGTCTCTAAAGTGACTTAACAAGTTTCATAATTAACCATAACTAAAATGTTCTTCAATAGAATCAAATTATTTCAATAGTTTGTGATTTAGATTACACCATTAAAACTCATTTGGTGACCTTCGGTTCCTCTTGTGCATTATTTTAAACTCAGGCAGAGCCTGAGTAGAACCACCCAACCTTCCTTACATGAAGGAGTAACGGTCAATGGCTGCTGTAAGATTCAAACCTACAATCTTGATGGGCAAGTGAGAAAAAGTCCTAGACTTTAACCACTCAGCCATGGAGACCAAACAACAACAAAAAAACACCAAAAAACAATGTATTACTTACCTGTAAATGTTCAATGGGTGTTTCATCTGGTGTCAGCTGATCTGCCGAGTGCTGATCATATTTTCCAATCCTCTGAAAGCCACAAATAGCACATGAAAGCCATAATAGTAACATGAAAGCCAAAACTAGTATCATTAGATCTGCCCACCTCAAGGTTTTAAGTTAGCAAACAAAGTTTTTAAAGATTAGTATTTTAGAAAAATACAGCAAGAGTTTGAGAAATATGTGACTCATTCACATTCTGTACATTTAAAAAACAAAACACTTTTTAAACTATCATTGAAAACAATCAAGGCTCTTGCGGTGGTCTTTTATGTTCCTTTAAGTAAATCAATGTGTATAATTCAGAAACAGTAATATTATTATATAATTCACATTTCAAACAAGAACTTAAAAGTTTGACAATTTTTTTTCAGTCACATACTCAATGAGTAACAAACGCCATTTTCAAGTTCAAATCAGGATAAATACATTAGTAATTTCTGTGTGTAGCAATGCAATTATTAAATCTTAACAAGCAGGAACCGAAAATGCTTAGCCTTTGTCACCAACCATCTTCATATTTCAACAGTTTGATCAGACTGCACGGTTGGAAGATTCTATCTTTGTTTTTGTATTTTGATGTGTTGGAACCCCTTCAACTTAAAATGGATTATTCCACATTCAAAGCAGGGAAAGTCTATTATACAAATTTAGCAGGTTTAAAGGGTATCCATATATATATCCATAATATAACTTACCAATCTGTGATTCTTCTGCAACTCTCCCACCGTCTGAAATATTAAAATCAACAAGATTACCTAAGCGTTCAAATTAGTGATATGTGAGTATATTATCGTGTCTTCGCCTTCGAGTTTTGAGGACAAAGACATGAAATGGCAGAAATCAGATACCATACTCTACTGAGCTAAGCGGACATACAATACTATAATCATAAATATTGCACATTTTTATCAACAAATGCATCAGAATGATAAAATAACAATGTTCTTAGAATTGCTTTATTCATGTTTTATTTTAACTTTTGAAAGGGGTTGGGAGGGTATTTTGGTTTCATGTTGCACCAACACAATACAGGACATATAGCAATGCTCCAGCTTTAATGGTGGAGGAGGAACCAAAAATTTTCTATTTTAAAAGAATTGACTGTAGAAGGTTAATTAAAATTATGATTTTCAAATTTTTGACACTAAACTTGGCTTTGGCTGTAGTCATGTACATATACATGTCTTTACCATGTTACATAAGCATTAAACATTTCTTCATATAACACACATGTAATATTATAAGCATCTAACACTGCCTGCCACTACACCACTCGTGATAATACTGTTTTAAAGCGCACTCGATGAAATAAAATTTCATCTTACACACAAACAATTAAAATATCTTCTATATATGACAAATGCTGTAAATCATATCAAAGTTGATATTTAAGACATATCAAAATCAAACGATGTAATAATATTAATAATACTTACCAGTTCCAGGTCTCCCACTAACAGTTTTAGGAATGTACTTTTCCCAACACCATTGGGGCCAACAATTGCAACTGAAAATAATGTTAAATAGTATAATAGTATATATTAATCAAAATTAAAACTACCATTTATTTTGTGGATTGATATTTGCAGAAAGGGCAAGAATTTTTCAGTCCGTTTTTGTTTTTTATACAGAAAGATTTTACTCTTTTTTTTTTTTAAATCACACTTCAGATGTCCCAATGGCTATAATTTGTACAATGTCTTTTGGATGCCAACCTGACAAAAAGCTAAGCTGTAGCCTCTTTGTTATCCTAGATAAGAATTCAAGAGTAACAGTTTATGATCATTGGTAATGGTGTTAGTAGTTTTCATTCCAGATCACAGCAGTAAGCCATATTGAATTTACCAGAGCACATTTGCCACCACATCGTTCCTGGGCAGGCTGTCAAGCAGTTAACCAGTACTAGTTGCCTTTACTTTCGCAAGGAACTGAAACTTCTGTACATGCCAGAGCAGAAGTACAGTGCGAATGACTGTAGAAAGGATTTCATGATCAATCACAACGAAAGTGACCTTGACGTCCCGGAATCGAACCTGGGTCGCCCGATTCACAGTCCAACGCTCTACCTATTGAGCAAACTGGACGGCAACATGATGATCAATGTAGTTATTATGTAGACGCTCTCAGTTAGAAAGATTTCGACATTTACTAAATATTAAACTCTGGACATTTTAGTATATTTAAGTCTATGTGAACTAAGTGACCCCTGAGGTGGAGCCAATTTTTACCACTAGAAGATGTTTCATGCTTAATATCTCAGCTCTAGCTCTTTTGGTTTTTGACAAGAACATTTTTATTTTTACTATATATATATAGGAAAATCAAAGACCCCTGAGACAGGCCAATTTTGACCCAAGGGCTTTATTTGAACAAAATTTAAAGACACCAACTAGAAGATGATTCATGCAAAATATCTAAGCTCTAGCTCTTTCCATTTTTTCAAAAAGATTTTTTAAAGTTTTTCATATGGCTTACATGGCAACAAGTTAGCTTGGAATTCAATTCATTGAGAAATTTTTAAAGGGCTTCATGCCAGGGACATTTCTGCTTAATTTTAACAATGTTGGCCTATTGGTAAAGGAGGAGATGTTGGTTTAAGAGTTTGGTGCCATTTTTGGAAGGACAAACAATGGACACAGAGTGATCACAAAAGCTCACCCTTGAGCACTTTGTGCTCAGGTGAGCTAAAAAACACAGTGCAAACTCCAAACGTTTATGGAAGCGTTATCATTCTTGAGGACTGCACTTCTTCTCAATTAGAGTTTTAATCAAATATGAAGTTTTAAGTTCCTAACTGAAGGAGTTTAAGTAAAATACACGATTCAATTCAATTCCCTGCCAACCAAACAAACATTCTCACAAATGGATTGTTATGTGGCTACCCCATTGTTTTTCCTTTGCTCTTTTAGCCACAAATACAAATGAATAAATTCTCAGCCTCATTTAACATCCTCTTTATACTATTTTCATTGAATAAAATATCGAGAAAATTCTGATACTAATCAGTTTTCTGCTAAGTTAGGCACATTTGATTTGGAAACAAACAGAACAGTGTGCACTTACCTCTAGAGTTCATATCAATACCAAAGTCTAAATCCTTAAACAATGCTGGGCCTTTTCCATAGCTGAATGTACAATCTGAAATTGAATTGGAATGTATAAATATATACATGTGGCAACAAGGCCGAGTGGTTTATGCAGCAAGACTTGAAGTATGAGGACTGCTGGCTGCAAGGGATTCAAACCTTGTCAGAAGCAAGTCCTTGTTTCTCTGCCCAAGAAACTGTATATTCTGTGCTAAGAACTAATAAATTCCTTTCAGGACAGATTAAAGAGATTATCCAAAAGTTTATAGCTTCCTACACAAATCTTGATAAATTTTAGGTACAGTAACTATATATTACAAAATAATGTGGATATTTTTAAAGCAAAATAATGAGTTTAAGCAATTTAAACGATATCAACACTTAATAAAACATCTGTGGACCATAATGGGACGGGAGTAATAAATGGGCCCTTGGCCCCAGTATTAACTAAAAAAAATTAAGATCAAATAAACATGATTTTATTTTCATTGATTTATGGAAAAAAATTGATAAATTGATCATATTAGGCTCACAACAAAACTGATAAACAAACAAAATGTGACGAAACACCGATTTTTCTATTTTTGGATAAAATTGAGGAACATCGATACAAATATAAAAATAATCAAATCAAAATAAGAATCAATTTTAAGATCAATATCAATATTTGAATCATTTGTTTAATGCCCATTATTTTGTAAAGTATTTTTTTCTCATAAAGTTTTTAAGTCTGTTTTTTTTTTATAATAAATTAATTAAGTTAACATTGCATATTAAATCTCAGATGGTATATACTGGAGTAAATTTGGGTTATTTATTTTGATCCTGATCCTTAAAGAAACTCCAATGAGGTACAAAGGCCAAAAATATAAATTTCTAATTCCTTACATAACAAAGCTGAGGCTTTTAAAATAGAAAGACAATTAACCCTTTACCACATATATACGCGAAACAACACACTTTTGACCCCCCCCCCCTTTTTTAGGCCTCAAATAGTTAAAAAATGTCCTATTTGGGCCCCAAACATAAGGTTTCGTTTGAGAAATGTTGCTAAAAAAATTGAGCACTTTTTCGGCGCCGCCCCCCATCCAAAAGATACATCAGGGGGTTGCCAGAAGGGGGATGTGCCCCCTTCTGTTAGGGGGGTTTGAAGGGCGGCGGAGTACCCCTCATCGCCAAGAAAATTTTGGACTTGTGAGAGTCTAAAAATGACCCCAGGTCGATCATAATGTAACTTTTAACCAACGCTGAAAAGCCTTTGACTCTATCTCAATCCCTTGTGAAGTTGCAGCACTTTGAAATAAATTTTGATGGAAAAAATCGAGGCAAAATAGTGATTTTTGGCAATTTTGAGATGTCCCCTCGTTGCCATGGTAACAGGAAATTTAAGACTGAGCATGTCGTTACAAAGGCAATGGTCCAGTCAACACTTGTGCCAAGTTTGATTAGTATTGAAGCATTTTTCATAGTTTCATAGCAGTTTGAACTTGTAACAGGAGGCTTTTCAGTGAAAACGGCCATTTTTGACAATAAGCTCATGGGGGAAAGGGTTAAGAAATATAAACAGGCATAAATTGAAAATGGTATTTTTGTGCTATTCTTAGCCATATTTGAGTAAAACGTGTTTAATATTTTGGGTCATTTTTCACAATCGTAATAATTATTCTGGGGACAAACTGAGTGAGCAAATGATTCACATTAGTAGTACAGACCCTTCATCAAATACAGAATAAACCTTAAAAAATTATTTCCAGTACGGTCATGTCAAAAAACCTCAGTGGAGGCCCTATAAATCTTAGTGAACACGAAACCTGGTGATAGGGTAAATAGATGCCTTGTTGATACATACTTGATATACCAAGGATGGGTGGATTGAGCGGAGCTGGTTTTGGGAACCGGAACTTCACCATATATTCTTTCGGTTTCTGTAACAACTCGGTCTTCTTCTCGTCTTCGGCAAACATTTCCTGCTTGGTGCGATTCTTCATCTGCTTTCTGGTTAGAGCTTCCTTTGCTTTCGATTCCTAAATCATTATTATGTATATAAAATCTCTATCTACCAAAAATATGTATCAATTATTAGAGTACGAAGTAACTTTTTTAGGACCCATCGTAAAGAAACTTTTTTTTATGGTGATAACTTATCACTGATAAGCTAACAGAATAGTTTTTCCAATGATTTTTTTTTTTTTTTTTTTTGGGGGTTGGGTAGTAGGAGTCACACCAACTGTGAATATCATAATTATTGCACTTTACCAGCATTACTGGTAGAGGAAGACCCTTTGACCCCAGTGCATTAGTTTCAGACACTAGCTGGCACCTAAGCAGGACCATATGGGTTCTATGAGCTAATTGGATACCTTTCTTGCATCAAAGTGCTTGTTTTAGGGACCAGTGATTTAAAGTCGATGCCTGTAACCTCTCAGCAACAAAGGACGCTGACAAATCAACAAAATAAATAAACAAAATAAAAGAAATATTACATCAAATGCTAATACACGTACTGATGCATATTGAAAGATTTTCATTTTACAATATTTGTGCTTTTATTCTAACCATCTTACTGGGCAGCAAAAACCAAAATATAAAAATCACTAACAGATGCTTCTCTGTAGACTTTATCCTTGTTGAAATACTTACAGCAACTTTCTTGGATTTCCCTGAGGCTTTATCCTCCTTGATTTGTTTTTCTTGCTTTTCATAAGCTTTCAACTGTTCCTTTCGTTTCTGTACAAACATCTTCTTAAAAGTAGCTTAAACATAAAACAATAAATACAATAAAAATCTTTTACAGATATTTATCATATGACGTTGAAAGTTTTCATATTATATGAACAGTGTGTATTTCTTTTTACTTCAAACATTATAAAAATGTAACCAATTAACTTCCTGCGTTTCAATCATGTGATCTTCAAATATAAATCATTATTTCGATCAAAACTTATCAATTTGGCCTGGTTTTCATCCATATCAAAACCATATTGTACATAATCCTGCCTAGTTTTCTCTGTCCAAAAAAATCCATATCATATTCATATTGTACCTGACAAATGAAGATTCTATCAAACTAGAGGATGCTTTTGTAAAAAAGCGCATGTCTCCCCCACTGCACTGTGACCTTGACCTTTGACCTACTGACCCCAAAAACAATAAGGATCATCTGCTCTATAAGACCAATCATCCTATGAAGTTTGAGGGCTGTAGGTCAAAAGGAACTCTAGTTATCATCCGGAAACGAGAAATTGACCAACGGTCACTGTGACCTTGACCTTTGACCTACTGACCCAAAAAAACAATAGGGATCATCTGCTCTATAAGACCAATCATCCTATGAAGTTTGAGGGCTGTAGTCAAAAGGAACTCTAGTTATCATCCGGAAACGAGAAATTGACCAACGGTCAGTGTGACCTTGACCTTTGAACTACTGACCCCAAAAACAATAGGGATCATCTGCTCAATAAGACCAATCCATCCTATGAAGTTTGAGGGCTGTAGGTCTAAAGGAACTCTAGTTATCATCCGGAAACGAGAAATTGACCAACGGTCAGTGTGACCTTGACCTTTGACCTACTGACCCCAAAAACAATAGGGATCATCAGCTCTATAAGACCAATCATCCTATGAAGTTTGAGGGCTGTAGGTCAAAAGGAACTCTAGTTATCATCCGGAAACGAGAAATTGACCAACGGTCAGTGTGACCTTGACCTTTGACCTACTGACCCCAAAAACAATAGGGATCATCTGCTCTATAAGACCAATCATCCTATGAAGTTTGAGGGCTGTAGGTCAAAAGGAACTCTAGTTATCATCCGGAAACGAGAAATTGACCAACGGTCACTGTAACCTTGACCTTTGAACTACTGACCCCAAAAACAATAGGGATCATCTGCTCAATAAAACCAATCATCCTATGAAGTTTGAGGTCTGTAGGTCTAAAGGAACTCTAGTTATCATCCGGAAACGAGAAATTGACCAACGGTCAGCGTGACCTTGACCTTTGACCTACTGACCCCAAAAACAATAGGGATCATCAGCTCTATAAGACCAATCATCCTATGAAGTTTGAGGGCTGTAGGTCAAAAGGAACTCTAGTTATCGTCCGGAAACGAAGAATGGACGGACTGACGGACTGACGGACGGACTGACGGACTGACGGACAGGGCAAAAACAATATGTCTCCCCCCGAGGTGGGGGAGACATAAATATTCAAAAATTTGTGGTGTACAGTAATATAAAACAGGTCATAATAAATTTGTTAATTACAAATACAGATTCTATTTAACTCGTGCACAGCTACAAAACCTATACTGGACTTGGCTAGCACCTTTATCCAAAAATAGATTTAACAGCAGTGTACATGTCCCTTTGAAATCATTATTGGACTCAACAATGTATAATAACCTCAATACTTCCTTTTTTTAAGTACATAATTATTATTATCCATGGTAAAATTATCTTCCTAAGTCTAATTTTTAGTGATGGAAATCGGTTGAAATTTGTCCCAATCGATCATCGGTTCAGTCGGATGGGACATAATCAATAACTTTTCGAATAAAGTCGCGTTAAAAAGAAATATGGAAGTAAGATTTCTTCACAAGGCACTTTATTATATTCAGTAACATGAACTTCATTTAGCACTTTTTAACACAGTTTTAACCTTATGTATTCATAATTTTAAGAAATAGATTTTATTTTGCAATGGATGTCAAATAATAACATTCAAATCACATTATATTACTACTGTTTACATCACTTATTGAGCCTGTTCAACTCCAAATTGTCTCTGAGATGATTTTTTGCGATCGGTGAGGTGTTCCTAAAAGAAAATTACCATCAGAATTAATTACCTTTGATTTTTAAACATTTGACGACGTCCCGGAACAAATTTTTGTGAATCGATTTACATAACAGTAAATGATTATTGACGACTTGCACCAATCGGAACATCACTACTAATTTTACAGGTTTAGTACAATGACAGAAGAGACCTGGCTGAACACTTTAATGCTGCTGAAAGTAATATACTTTAAGGAAATATTCACCATAGTTTCCCCTGTAGTAGAAGAGTTTTTGTTGATCTAGATGTATAATATCTGAACAAACATTGTCGAGGAAACTCTGATCGTGAGAGACGACTAGCAACGTCTTCTTCCATGACTGAAGATAACTAAAAATAAAATCATGTTGATAATAGTACAATAGAACCTCGGCTAGTCGCAGTTGAAGGGACTTGGGTACAAACTTTGTGTAAAAATTTCAACACAACAGGACTGCAACTCATAAATCGGTCTCAATTTTAATGACACAATTTGAAGCCTTCAACATTTACAAGCCCGTTACAAAAGGGATGGGTGATAACTTAACCAGCTAAAAGTAAATATATCCTGTGTGATTATCCCGTGACACTGGGTCACATTGTTCTCAAATGACACTAATTCATACTGTTCATTTTCACATACAATTCAACAATTAGAATGATAACAATTAGAGCCTATAATTACACATACCAAGGCTGTAAGTACATGTAGATGTGTTATTAACACCTGTCATACAAGATGATTGGAAATCATCTTCACGGCCAGAAAAGATGTGAAAAATGTCTCAAGATCAAAGGTCTAAATGAACTGATTGCCTTTGACTTACTTATGGTAGAGTTTTCTTGACTTATTCTTTACAAACTATGTAAATACCTCGAAACAGCGTAAAAATCGACACATAAAACTTTCAACTACTATATGCATTTTAATAAAGAATATATGAAAATCACGACTCATTTTATTTTGACAAATGGAGAAAATCTACTAATGGAAGTTTGATACATAGAAGTTCTAGTGTATTTGTTTATTTCCATCTAAGCTTTTTCAGTGGGTAGGTAACATAACAATAAATAAACAATATTTTATTCTAAGCCTTACATTTTGTTAAAATTGAATAAAAGACGATAAATCTTTAATTAAAGTTTCTCCACTGAAGTTTTCTGAACACGAAGGCACATGAAATAATTTTTCAAGACTTCAAGTGCATCATTTTATGAAGGTCCAGACTAATATCTTTTGTGTAAAGTTTCAGATCATTAACTCAGTCCATTTCCCCAGAATAATAATTTTTATTGTGCATAATGACCAAAAATGGTAAGTGTCACAATTTTTTTCCATTCAAACCAGGCTAAAAATCATGCAAAAAATAGATTTTCAATATAACTTTAACTCTTTCATTATTATCTTTTACAGATTTTTTCTAATTTTTAGGGGAATCACATGTTCCATGTCAATTTTATAAGTTTTTACATTTTTTAGGCTTCTTGACCTCAGGGGAGCCCCTTCAAATCATTAGAAAGCCAAGCATGAACACTTTTCTAAAATGTATTTGCAATGATCAAATGAGTTTTCTTCATGCATATTCTAAGAACAAATAAAATATAAGTTTTCTAAATTAAAATAAATTAAAGTATAACTTACTTATCTAGCCAAATAACAGCGTTTAGATCTAAATGATTTGTAGGTTCATCTAACATCAGTAACGTAGGCTCTAAAAACAGTGCTCTGAAAGTAAAAATAATTTACCTAAAATGTATCATTACACTTTTGTGTGTACATAATCATCCCCTTTTGCCAAGTAATTATAATTATCATGAAATACTTAAACTGCCTATAAAATTGCCCTGTTAACATAATCATACTTAAATTCATTACAGAGGTTTGAATGTAACTCTTATGGGAACTCCCAGTTTTCTGTATGTGCATGGAATTTTAAGTTATAACAACCTAAATTATTTTTAAAACAATTTCATGTATGTAAAGCTTTTTTTTTATGTTTATTTCGATAGCCCTATGAAAACATTTCGGGATTCCTTACAATATAAATTTGAGACTATAGAAATTCATGAAAAAAGATCATGCCAGCAATATAGAATGAACAATAAATGCATTATAAAATCAGTCTACACTTTAAATTCCGCCTTTTTGAAAGAAATGCAAAATATACAAATCCACTTGCACCATTTTAAGTTTTACACATAAGTTTGGGAGCGTTAATTTTACAGCCGTTGGTTACTCACTTTGCTAACGAAACTCTCATTCTCCATCCACCGGACAGGCTTTTGGTCGGCCGTTCCATCATTCCTACGGTAAATCCGAGACCGGACAGAATTCTTCTAGCCTTTGGTTCAGCTGCGTCGGCCCCAATAGCGCGCAACTCTTCATATACCTGTTTAAATTAAAATTATTTTTACATACAATAAATCAAAGTACTAAAAATTGGCGAAGCATGTGAAACACATTAAAGCAGCCTTCAGGTTTTATTTTCTGTTGGAACTAGAACTGCCACTGTCATGGCGTGAATACCCCTGCATACAACTTTGTCAGAATCAACAGTGGCCATTTAGAACTCAAGGACAACCACCCTGCCAAATCTTAGGTTACTAAGCCAGTGCATTGCTAAGATATGTATTCTCCATGCTTCAAATGTAAAAAATTTAAAATCAAGTTTTTTTAGTCAAGGCCCCTGTGACTTTGAACTTTGACCCAGTGACCTCAAAATCAATAGGGGTCATTTACTAATCATGATTAACCTCCATGCCAAATATGAAGACTGTGGGCCAAAGGAATCTCAAGTTATTGGGTGGACAAGCTTTTTTCAAGTCAAGGCCCCTGTGACCTTAAACTTTGACCCAGTGACCTCAAAATCAATAGGGGTCATCTACTAATCATGACTAACCTCCATGCCAAATATGAAGACTGTGGGTCAAAGGAATCTCAAGTTATTGGGCTGACAAGCTTTTTTTAGTCAAGGCCCCTGTGACCTTGACCTTAGACCCAGTGACCTCAAAATCAATAGGAGTCATCTACTAATCATGACTAACCTCCATGCCAAATATGAAGTCTGTGGGTCAAAGGAATCTCAAGTTATTGGGCGGACAAGGTTTTTTAAGTCAAGGCCCCTGTGACCTTGACCAAGTGACCCCAGTTGTTCACTTTACTAATTTACATATAGACAGCCGCCTGGTAGATTAGAGGTATCTAGGGGTTTCCATATTGTTTAAGTATTTTATCATTGGCAAATTTCAATTTCCATCTTAATTCTTTTGATTTGACAAGTAATTGAAACATTGCATCTAAAAATAGAATACTTAATCTTAAGAAAAGCTGAGGCTGCTTTAAGGACTATTGGTCAAATTCAATAGCAACTTTTCAGTGGTATTTTGAATATAAAAGCTTAGGAAAAGAAAAAAAATATAATTATGTATACCTGATTTAATCTTTCTGAATTTTTTGTGTTGCCAGCATCACTTTCCTTTACTAGTTTTTTTTCCTCCTCCAGCAAAGCCTCTCTCTTTACATCAGCTTTCAGGACAACAGACAAAGCTGGAGTTTCATCAGCTATCACCTCTGTAACACAGAAAATTGAACGCGCCATGACAAAACCAACAAAGTATGTTTGCGCCCAGCATGGATCCAGACCAGCCTGTGCATCCGTGCAGTCTGATCAGGATCCATGCCGTTTGCTATCAGTTTCTCTACTTGTAATAGGGTTTGTAAGGGAACAGCCCGGATCAAATGATCGAAATGATAAATTAAAGCATTGATTATTCATTTGTGAGGTATATATATGGAAGGGCAATTAACCAATATATCATCAAAATTTGTCCCCTGTGTCCATATATCGTTGATATGCTTTGCACTGAATCAATGAAAGCTCTAACCTCAAGCATCCTCATATATACAATTTAAACACATATTTGAGATACTAAGAATGTGGTAAAATAACAAAATCTAGGATTCTTTTGATACAGGAAACAAAAGCTGTCATTAGGACAGCATACTTGACTATTCTCGGTGCTTGTTAGTAAAACAAGAGCCTGGATAATATAGATTTTTTCATAGTTCACAAACGGCAAATTTTCTGTCAAAACCCTTGACAGTGACTCCCAATTATGCTTTCAAATAAGTGTGTGAAGTTTCAATCCATTCCCTTTAATAGTTTTCAAGATACTTGCAACATTTTCCTCATACTGTTTACAAAATTACATGTGTAGGAAAAGGACATAAAAACAATCAAAAGTAACTTATTGCTTTCAGTTTCTTTGTATATCTGTTCAAAAATACAAGTAGGTTCACAAAGAGAAAGTGGAATCTTACCTTGTTCGCAATATAGGACATCTATATTGGGAGGGATGTTAAGGGCGCGGCCTGATATATGCTTCAACAAAGTTGTCTTTCCGTGTCTGTAATTGTAATAATAAATTTTGATTAAAAAATAAAATAAAATAAATTTTTATGTTCTACTCAAAAAGATATTAATACTTGTCATCTTCTACATCATTTGTTTACCTAAAAATATATAAGGATATTTGTTAATCAAATTGAGTTTTTCCATATTTCTTTTTTGTACAGTTGTGACACCAAATGACACTGAAGTTGTGAAATTTGATCTTATCTTATAGAAACACAAAATCATCGCTTTCTATAAATTGTAAGATAGCCAATGAAAATGTGCTAGAAACCAGTGGCATAACACTACTGAATATGTTTCGAAGCATTTTTTTTGTAAGTATAGTTTGGCAGAAAGAGCTGTCGGTAACTTCTGTATACACATTCATTTTGCCCATATGTAGTGTATCAGAGAGAGCACTTTCACCATTATGCATACACTTCTTCATCACAATGTCACCTTAGTGCACTAACAGGTTATGTGTGTATTTGAGTTTATTTATGCTCGCCATCGGTTGCCCATATGGGCGAGTCCTCTAGAAGAGTATTAGTCATTTTAGATTTTGGTGGATAGTGCAAGAATCAAATACAGAAAGATGCCCCAATTCCAGAAGCTTCTCCTGGTTCTTTTACGTGCCAAGTGTTTCATCACTCATACATGGGACCTAGATGAGGGGGTACCCGAGTAGAACCAACAACGTGCTGTAAATTACATGGATAGCTTCCTCACAGGACGGCATTTTATTTTTGTGAGAACACTTCCCCACATTTAAGCAATATTTAAACTTGAACCTGAGAGGAGTGATAAAGAGTTTTAAAATCAGCAACCGCAACCAAACAAAATCAATCTCTGGCATCTTATGAATGTCTCTGTCATTATGTATGTTTGTTGAATAGTAACTTCTCAAGGACTTACCCGTTGGGACCTACTAAACCATATCTTCTGCCTGCAGTGATATAAAGACTGGCATTTACAAACAGATCTTTCCCACGTGCCGATATAGAAAAATTCTCTACCTGAAAGATTGTAACACAATAATAATGTATCATTGCTGATGAGCAGTAGTTTAAAAATAGTTATTAAGCCATACATGTATATAATATTTCCTACAGAATTTTGTTACAAAAGTATTTGAATTTCAGTTTTGTTTTGTTATTGAAGCCTATTTTAACACATCTTTTTGGACATATCTTGCCAGTCAATCAACCTAACTTGTTTTCCTTGACTACAAACCAGTAATTACTGATTTCTCTCAAAGTGACTGACTACTAATCCAACTCAATGTCCGAGATCAAATGTCACCGAGAAATTACGCCTCGCCGGAGGATTAAACCAGCCACCTCTGGATTACTAATCAGATGCTCTCCTATAGAACTAAGCGTGCAGACTGTATTTTTTTTATTAACCCTTTCGCTGCCAGAGGGTTATTGTTTTATTGATAACCTATTTGCCAGAGGGTTTTCTAAGAAATTACTATATAATTAATTAATATAATTATTATTATTTGTTATTAGTCTTATAATTATTATATATGTTTCCAAATCTGCTAGTATAATAATAATTATTGTTGATGGTATAATTTTCTTTATATTTATTATTATTTTTATTATTATTAATTTATTATTATTATAGAAACGGCAAAAGCCGTCCATATGGCAAATACACCGAAAATAACAGGGACGGCATAAGCCGTCCCTATGGCAGTGCAAGGGTTAAAGGGGAGCAGCATAAAAAAACAAACAAATTTTTTCAAATGAAAATTTTAGATTTTAAGATGAAAATGCAAATAACATACCTTAATATCAAGCTGGTTTTCTAGTACAGCTGCTTTGGCTGATTTTTCAGCTTGTGAGACAGAAAACTGATGTATACTGTTTGGGTCCAAACTCTCCAACTGTTTGTTATATTCCATCTAAAACAAGATTAGGAAATTCATTGCCTATTCCATAAATAGAGGATATTGAATGAGTGGAAGTTAAATACTGAATTTATTGAACATTGCGAGCATAATATCATTTTGATGAACAAGTTCAATAAATTATAATTAAAGTTGCACAAAAATAATATTCTACTTATCACATACCCAATTTAACAACCGTTTGAAGCGAAAAAGAACCATTTCTTATTGACGAGCCTAGAGTATAACGCTAAAATTTAGTGCGTCTTAACACTATGTTTATATAACATGATCACAAGTATTGCAAGTTTTAAGTTGAACGCTTTGATGGTTTTAAAATCATTCTGCTAATAATTTAGCAAGTTTGACAAAAAGTGCAAGTTAACAAGGGGCATTTCTCTAACTATATAACTTTCAGGATAATGCCCCTTGTCTTACAACTATGCCATGCCAAGCTATACAAATATTGCAAGTTTTTTATGCTGATACCTTTTACAGTTTTGAAATCATTCTGTTGGCAAAATATAAGTTAAAAAGGGGCATAACTTATACAAACATAGCTTTTCAAATAATGCTCCTTCCTCACATGAAAGAAGCCAAAGTTCACAGGCAGGATTTCAGCCCACAGTGGCAAAGTGCAAGTGGTTCAAAGTCAGCCACTTTCATCACGCAGCCATGGAGGCCTCTAGTTATTTGTATGAACATATAAACATTCTTTTATCTTGTATAACAACACTAAGTGTGATTTTCTAATTTATTAAATTTCTAGTTAATTACCTGTTTTTTAAGCTTTTTTAATTCTTTTTTACTCAGCTTAGGTTTGACAGTCTCTTCTTTATCTGCTTCATCTACAAAATATAACAATCAGTAATTTTTTCACATATTTGGCAAAGATGGCGGAAGCCTATTAAGAAAGAGTGGAATAATGTGTTGTTATTAGCAATTTTGTAGGAAAAAATCAAAATCAGCAAGGTTTGGTTTATACATAACTTGTTAAAAGTGATTGTGTAAGAAGCCTTAAGTTTTATGAACTCTCAAATCCATTCCTGGAACAAACAAGCAAATTCGTTGAATTTATATCCCCCGCCGAGTACTGGTTATTATTAACACAACAACTGAAGACATAAGGCTTTATTTATATATTAATCATGGCATAAACTGTAATATTCTTTGAACTTGAAGCCTTGTACCTTCAAACAAGAAGAATTTTTAAGTGTTCACTATATACATATAAGGAAAATCTATGACCCCCTGGAGTGGGGCCAATTTTGACCCCAGGGCTAAAATTTGAACAATTTTGGTAGAGGACCTATATCCAGATGAAAATACCCAGGTGCACAACTACACATACTGATCAACATTCCTGTAAAGTTTCATGACTCTGGGTCAAATACTTTTTGAGTTACATGCCACACAAGTTGAAAATGACAAAATTTTACTAAGTCAAGGGCAATAACTCTAAAAATGCTAAAAATATCCAGACGAAAATACCCAGGTGCACAACTACACATACTGATCAACATTCCTGTAAAGTTTCATGACTCTAGGTCAAATACTTTTTGAGTTACATGCGACACAAGTTAAAAATGACAAAATTTTACTAAGTCAAGGGCAATAACCCTAAAACTACTAAAAATATCCAGACGAAAATACCCAGGTGCATAACTACACATACTGATCAACATTCCTGTAAAGTTTCATGACTCTAGGTCAAATTCTTTTGAGTTACATGCGACACAAGTTGAAAATTACAAAATTTTACTAAGTCAAGGGCAATAACTCTAAAAATACTAAAAATATCCAGACAAAAATACCCAGGTGCACAACTTCACATGCTGATCAACATTCCCATAAAGTTTCGTTGAATTCCAGCCATCAGTTGCAGAGAACTACTCCGGAAACGAAATTCTAAGTCAAGGGCAATAACTCTTAAAATACTAAAAATATCCAGACGAAAATACCCAGGTGCACAACTTCACATGCTGATCAACATTCCCATAAAGTTTCGTTGAATTCCAGCCATTAGTTGCAGAGAACTACTCCGGAAACGAAATTCGGACGGACGGATGGACGGACGGACGGAAGGACGGACAACGCCAAAACTATATCCCCCTCCCGATTCCATCGGCGGGGGATAAAAACCAGTACTTGGCAATGTGTGTAAAGTTTGTTTCTCATGGAAACAACGGCTTGCCCCTGATGGGGTTTGAACCTATGTGGATAACAATCCTCAGATTATTAGTTCATGCGTTAACCGCTCGGCCATGCCGCCACCAAAACCAGAAGGGTTTGAAACAATCTTTAATAATTCAAATTCAAAATACTAAAAACCAGGATAGCTCTGCTTATATCAGTAGCAATTTCCTCAAATTAAATCACTCCAAAATTTTAGGGGATTCCTATATTCTATAAAATTTTTGGATGAACATTTTTCTATAATTAGGGAAAAACATACTTTTGGCCTTAAAAATCACTTGCAACTTTTATGTTATACATGTACACACATTATTCCTGGTTTTCAATGATTTTTTTAGTGCATTTGTATGTTAAGTCACACTTGTAAGGTCCAATTTTTATGTTAAGGAAAACCTCTGGTGCTAGTCTGTACATCAGAGTACAACCACCTACCTTTCAGTTGGAAAGCCTCGGTTAAAATTCAAAGTTGTTAAAACCTACAGCAGTGAGATTTCAATGATTTAAAATCAACCATCTCAACCATCCCACCAAAGAGTTCATCATCTGATTGAAAGAAGACACTTTAATACACTTAATTAAGTGACATATATTTCCTAGCAACACAGAGCATGCCTTTTTACAAGCTTAAACCAAAGAAATACTTATAGACTATGCAAGATCGTTGAAACAGAACTTGGGAATCAAACCTGCAGCTTCCTCATCCTCAAACTGACCAGCCATATCCCTGTCTATCTCTTCTGGTTCATCATTAAAATCATCATCATCATCCTCGCCATTGTCATCGTCCAGAGAGGCACCTCTTCTACCTTTACCATTTTTTACCTGGAAAGTTACATTCAAATTTTACAATTCATGTGACAATATTTAAGTTTAGTATTGTCAAACTGTTTATTAAACTAAAATGTAATACGAGGGGTGTTTGGGAAGTTTAAGGACTTTTGCTGTATTTTTTTCCTTAATGGTGCGTTTTTATCCATATTTCACAAAATGTAATTTAAATATGTGCTCAATATGTAGTATAACGCTTACTAACAAGAATAGACAAATACCGCTCGAAATTTGTTTCTATAGGAACCGCATAACGCATACCTGGAGCACTCCGATTTTATCGTATTTAAGATCATGGTACCGATATATTTAATTTATAATAATTTTCTTAAATTTCAATGGATAACGTCATGAAAAAGCAAGAGCGTTAAATACAACGTCAACGTCATTTCCTGAAAATTCTACTCGTAAATCGTTACAATTGTTTGAATAACAACGGTTTTAACATCACTGGTGCTTACACAAATCATGAGGAAAATGGCGTCAATAGGCGACGTTGAAGTCAGGGCAATCATCAAGTTTTGTATAGGAATAGAAAAGACACAAATGGAGGCGTATTAAATGATTCAAGCATCTAGTACAACAAAGAAATGCTGTAGATGGCTAGTATTTAGACGGCATGACATGTTCCGAAACGGAAGAGAGTCAATAGAGGATGCCCGGACCTCGCGCCGATGGATTTCCGAGTTTTTCAAAGCACAGCTGCGTGGTCAACACTTTGATTCCGGGTTGGAATTACAAATTGAAACCCAGAGAATAGTTTTGTCATTCGACAACATCTGGTACGAGGACACATACGACAAATTGGTCAATAGGCATAGAAAATGTATCGCTGTGAATGGAGATTATGTCGAGAAGTGAGAGGTGTTTAAACTTGGGGGAAAATGCATCACTGATAATTTGCTGCACTTGATTAAATGAATGCAAGAATCACTGTCTAGGATGGCATCTTCAAACATTTAAGCACTAAAACAGTGAAGTAGCCCTTATTTTAAAGATTCTAGAGCTTTTTATTCAATTTTTTGTTGTAACTTTCACTTGGGAATTTACTCCTGTTGATTGGGAAAATAATCTACTATTTCAATTGGGAATGTGACCAAATAATGAAATATCGCCTATAAAAGAAGCCAAAAAATCCCTGCATTACCTCTGCTTTCTTCATCCCCTTCGCTGCAGGTTTCTCGGGCTGAAAATTAAAAAAAAAAATCAAATATCCAAACATGTATGGTTCACAACCAATGGTCTCAATAAATGAACTCTGCATATTAAGAATCAGAATTTGTATTCCATGTAAATGTTGTAGTTTGTAGTTCATATTCTATATAAATATGAAAGTTTATATCCCATGAAAATATGGTACTTTATATATCATGTTAATATTATCTAGCAAGGGGAGCGGTGGTGACCTAATGGTTAAGGTGTCTGCCTTTCAACCCAGAGATCATGGGTTCGAGCCCTACTTGGGTTACGACCATGTATCTTCATATGACACCAGTACTGGTTGGTTCAAGGAAGCATAAGTGATTAATATAAGTTGCAAGAACTTGTTTCACAATTCAGCTTCAATATCAGAGATTTTACAGTCTCTGACTTCAAAATATTGAAATTTGAAGCCCTGCCGATCTGATAGCCGAGGTAAATATGCTTTCCTGCTGATGAATCACTTTCATTTTATAATCAAAATTTTGTTCTGTTGACTTTTTATACCAATGCGATTGCAGCTATTTATAGATCATATAATAATATTATTTGTATTACATGCAACTATGATTTAAATAATTGTAATGTTATTTATGAAAATTTTATCCCTTAACCTGCTGGGTTAAAAAGCAGAGCAGGCAAAATCTGCTTTAGACTTATTTGTCCCTTTGTATCTGTATTGAATACTGTAAATTCTTGAAAATTTCCACTTGTTTGTACAGGCTGTCGGACAACCAGGGTGATAAGGATTTGGCCACCCCTGCCACTAGTATAAAACCAGCCCAGCTACCCTACCGATTTATTGTTGCTGATGATGCTAACAAAATTGAAACTTGAATTAAACATCTAAATACTTCATTAAAGTATTTTTCTCTCTAATTTATATCAATTTATAATAAACCTACCCATTTATTTAACATCTAAATTAACACTTCAATAAAATCTATTTTTTTTTTTCTAATTTTCAATTGATAATAAACTTACCCATTTATTTATCATCTAAATACTTTAATAATAATGTAATTATAAAAATAAGAATGGGGAGGAACTGTCTTCTAATTTGCAAATATGCAGACAGTTCTCCCCCAAAATAGGGAGAGAACCGTCAGGGAGGAAACGTCAGGGGAGGAACTGGTAAGGGAGAGAATAGTCTGACTACCCTACCCGATTGGTTGATAATTGTGAAAATTAACACGGACAAGTCGATTTAAAAAATGCAGGGTATATGTATCATTCTCTAACAAACCTGAATTTCTTCAACAACAGGCTCATCATCCTCTGCTTCTAGAAACTCTGCCAACTCTTTAAGTTTACTTTTCTTCTCTTTCTACAATATAGATCTACAATTTATAGATTCATACAGTCTTTGTCAATAATAACTTATTCAATACCCACAATATATCACTCTGCAAAATACAAAATAAATATTGATAAACACAGTTGTCTATTCTAGGAGATTATCATTACTAAGTTTAAAATTAAAATACTAAATATATCCACATACTGCCAGTTTTCAATCACAACCACTTTTCAATCATCCCTAGAATTTTCTTATTTTTGACCTTATTTGTCATGTAACCAAACTGTAAGCACATCTTGTATTCACTTTGACTACATTTATTAGCAGCAATGTCAATTATGGCGATAAAAAAGAAAATGCTAGCATTTTAGTTCAAAATATGTAAAATGTGTGTTTTCCACTAATCCTTTATTTACCCAGTTACAAATCGCAATAATTTTCTAAAAATAATTGACTTACAGGCTCAGTTTTTTGTCATTCTGCAGAAATGGATATTAAGTTGGACAACTGTTTCAATATCATGAAGTCATAATGTCTACTGCACTTCGAAAGCTATTATTTTAATATGTACATATTTTACCATACAATTCTTAATTTAAAGGTAATACGTCAGTAAAGTAACAGTCACTTAACCAAGGAAAAACATTCTCTCTGATAACTTTTTAGTAAGCTTTCACTAGAATGGGGTCATATAGACCCTAAGATCCTAAAAATTTCTCAAGAACATGCTTTCTCTGTTATGCAAATTGAAATGTACATCCATACCCCAATTACGACAGCTTTACCACTGCAAATAGATATCTAGATTGAAAAATGGCATTATAATTAGGTTACATTTGTTTATTACCATTTATCTGAACAGCCATTCTCCCATAATTGAAGCACTTTTGGTTCACAAAAAATGAAAAATCTGACTTTCATAAACAACGTTTTCTATGATTTGCCTTTAATGTTCAATATCTTGGACAGATTGTGTGGAAGTTTAACACACACCATTCGCTCCGTTTGTATACTGAAAGCTTTTGAAGTTAGTTACTGAATTACATTGTTACGGAACATATATATACCATAGGAAATACTTTGGAGGTATTGTTTTACTAACATTTTAAATTAAACAATCCAAAAGAATATGCATTGAAAATTTGAAGACCAATGGTTACCTTTAGCAAAAATATTTTATGCCATATCTTATTCTGAAACTTGTATACTTCGTATTTGAAAAGCTTGTATAAGAAAATATTTTCGTAACTTAAGATTGACATTGTTACGATACAATGCACAAACAAATACTGCCATAAAAGTTATCGAATTATATCTAAAATAGAAGCAGAAAACAAATCAAGCATAATTTTTAATCGGTGTAACGTTACCAAAAAAACTTCGCTGTACAAATGATCATCAAACAGACCTTATGATCTGTTACGGAACATAGGTGAAAAATTTTAAAACATAGGATTTATAACTCAATATTTTCACTCTTTAAAATTACTTAAACAATTTAAATGTGGTATCTTCACAAACAACATCAATCATAAAACACTGTATCAATTAAAAATTACATCAACAGTTTAATTTAGTGAGAAGTGCAGGAAAAGATATCTGTTACGGAACATATGTTATGGAAAATAGAATATTATGTTTTTCACTGAAAATGAACAAGAATTCTTTTTTTTTCACTTTTATTTGCTTTATTTCTGCCTAATTTAACAAATTTGTTGTAATGTTATAATGTTTCATGTAGTTTCCTCTACATTTTCTTCACCACTGCTTCTTCTTGTTTGAATGGGAACATACTTTTTCTGCTTTCTTTCTCTTTTAAATGATTTGTTGTTTTCCCCTCTCTGCTTTGTCTCATGTATTTCTGTTTTTAAAAGCACCATTCTAAAAAGAAAATTATTGCTTATTATAAATATATTAACCTTGATACATGAATATCATTAAAATAATTATTTTTATCATGATTATTATAAATATAACAATTACATAATAATAATCATTTTTATCATTATTACATAAATATCATTATTAATATTACTTTTTTCATGATAATTGTTATTCTAAAACTTTTAGATAATGTAAGTGACATAATGATACACTTTTGGTATTTTATAAATAGTAAAAAAACATAAAAAATCATATTCAAACATAGAATTTATGAATGCTATGTTCCGTAACAAATTTGATATGTTCCGTAACGGAAAACTGCAACCTTACAACACAATACAAATCATGTTAGACTTCCAGTTAATATTGGACACCATTTTCATATATCTTTATAATGAAAAAAACACACTGGAACAGTTTATATAAACAAACTGAATATATGCATTATGGTGCTGAAAAAAGATGATAGAAGGTTATGCTTCCGTAACAAATTGCCTTTGACTATTTGATAAACTGTGCACTTCTTTTTCATCGAAATATGTGTTCCATGTTTGAAACCAATCATTCATTTCAAATTGTTAAATAACTATGGATAAGGTACATATATCACATAAGATTATGATCTCAAAATAATTAACTATGTTCCGTAACAAATGTTTCAAACAGGTAAAAAATATAAATAGCATCAACTTGCTACTTTTGACTCTGTGGTTTGCTGAAAATAAAGCTTGCAATCGATTTTTATCAGTAAAATTTCTCGTGTAAGTAACATAATTGTGAAAACATCGTTATCAAATCAAAAACAGTGGTTGCCACAAATAAGTACAGTGATTGCCAATTACCTCCAGTTGACTAATTGTATCATTAAAGTCAATTAAGATGTTGCATGCATACCTCTTTGTGACGTATCATTGGGAGCGGTGATAGGCAAAAAAGACACTCCGTCAATTGAACCGTATACTGTACCGAAATTCGGATGATCGTTTCGTTACGGAAAATAGTCGTTATGGAAACATAGTGAAATTAGACTTCTACGGGTCAGAGTTATCACATTTTTGTGTAAATGACATCTCATTTTGGTGTTTTTCATTTAAAGAAATACAAAACAAGATTTTAAAATTTTCATTTGATTGGTATAATGTATATTTAAAAGTATACGCCCGTTACGGAGGCATAGCATTTTAAACGCGACATTTTAATTATTTACAATAAAACGGTTTGTGTTAAAATGTATCATCGCAGGAGTCTAATTTATCAATTTTATTCCAAATATAGTCTTTTGATATTGTTTTGAGTACAAATTTAAAAGAATATAACGCATTTCAAGATCGTTACATTCCAGTTTAAAATCGTTACGGTACCATAGTTGCATTTCGGCGACGGCTGCATTTAAAGAAAATCATGGAAAATAATGGTCTCTGTCTCGAACTTCTTATGTTATTCTTAATCTATTATCAATACTGCATTGATTTTAGTCAAAAACTTGTTGGAAAACATAGAAATGGATTGTTTTTTTCACCAATCTTAAACTTTAATTGGTCAAGCGACAGCGCTTTTTTGCAGTTACTATAGCTTTTCAGTATAACACAATTGAAAAACGAGGAGCATCCACGCTACAAAATTTAAGTTAAGCTGTAGTCCAATAGATTAGACGTTACAGGCTTGTTATAGTTTTATGTTGGTCAAGCCTGACGTCTAATAGTTATTGCTCATAAACGCGTAGCATTTTGAAAAATTAAAAAAATGTCTGTTGGCTTGCCTTTCAAGCTTTATTCAAAAGCTTATCTTCTGTTCTTTCAATTGCATGGTCTATCATTAACAAAAACTTTCAAACAATGTACTTACCAATTAAAAATAAAATAGAAATATCAGTCTATTTCGCTCATCGGCCATACTGGTTAAGTAAAGCGTTTTACAGATTGATTCCAATTTTTTGAACGGAAAAATATATTCGAACACACTGACGGTGCATGGGCAATTATTTCGTTAAAAAAAATATTCCGTTAGAAACTTCTGGACTCATTTAAAGGCTTGCATTTGAATTAGCCGATCAGATTTCGTGCACTGTATGGCGGCCATTTGTATATCTGCTGTACAAGTAATTTAATTAAATGAGAGGATTTAATCATGACTTTTCGGATGTGACAGTTAAATTATTTTGTTAAAAGGTATTTATTTTTTAGTTTTGTTTATAAATAGGTCAAAATTAATGTAAATACAGGCTGTTTTAATTGTTTAAATTCATTAGATCTAAATCGATGTCTAATGTCATTTTTTTTGCTACACGATTTTGCAAAGATCTGTTAAGACCTAACGTAACATGGAAAATGAAAAATGTAAAATATCAGATTAATGAATGATAAATATGAAATAGGTTACGTATAGGTCTTATAATTAGGACTAGTTAAGCTGCTGAGAACATCCCAGTGTACTTATTTAAATGTTTGTCACAAAGAATTAAGCTCGTCTGTACATTTTACTACGATTTTAAAAGTGGAGACAGGAATTATCAAAAAGTGCTTCAATTATAGGAGAATGGCTGTGAAGTTGAGTTTGTCAAAATTTCTCCATATTACATAACTGATTATATTTTAACATTGTATGACAATTTTTATGTGGTACAGTTTATATTTTGTTAACTGATTGAAAAGTGGTTGTGAAATTTTGAAGAACAGGAAAATGGGTCAGTAATGATTTGTCCTCAATTCATAATAATAATTCAGGTAAATTTTTAAAAAGTTGGTGCATTTATTAGCTAAAATGATAATATTCGCAGAATTGAAAGAGATTTTTTTTAAAAATAATTTCACTGTCAGTTATTGTAGAAAAATCTGTTAGCTGATCGGAAAGAGGCAGTACGGGGATAGTCTAGCAGACCTTTTTTGACTTTTTTCCCTCTTTGACTTCACCGTCATCACTTGTTGACAAGTTTTTCATCTTCTCTTCCAGTTTCGTCTCTGTTTCCTCATCATTCCAGTCATCATCCTTTTTCTTTCCACGATTTTTCTTCGGCATTTTGTATTTAAATTAGGATTAATCTGTTAAAAATATCAAAATTTTGTAAAAATTTCGCAACATGTGTCACATTCACGATAAAATCCGACGATGCCCGTATAAAATCTTTATTCGCGAAATGGTGTTCATTTTAAACGAAAAGAACAGTAATAAATAATTTTTGTTGTTTTATTTGCAGACGATACGCAGTCTTAGATGAACACTTGTTATTCAGAGAAAATGTAAATAAAAAAAACGTACGTCAGTTTTGGGATGAATACAATTAAAATGTTAAAGTCAAAATAACCTTTTCAGCGCCTATTTCACAATACACGATATTTTTAAACTAATACATGTGCAAATTTTCACCTACATGTAGAGCTAGCTTAATATCTCCTACCTTTATCCCGTGTTAAACCCTGGAACACATTGTCTTCTACCAAAGAACCAGACGCTTTACCAGCAGAAATATGAATCGCACTATGGTTTACGATAAAAGAGGAACCAAACTCGGATCGTAATCAGGCTAATTAATGTGAGTAGATGACATGTCCATGAAAAACGTCTTGTTGACCTCATTCTTCGATCTTGACTTTTCAAAAGCTTTTGGACATGGTCAGCTATGGAAAAGTTATCTATATGCTGCAGTTATCTCAAATGAATTGAATTTAAGTCTGAGACAATATATATATACGAAGTAAGTCACAAACAGTACTACGTACTTCTAAGATCTAAGTCCTCTTTTTATCCCAGTATCCTAAGGTATTCCCAATGGCTCAGTCTCAGCAGGGTCTTTCAAACTATTTGAAAGACCCTTGTCTCAGGGCCTCTATTGTTTCTTATCTATATAAATGTTCTTCCTGGCTTTTTATTCATTCCAAGTTAGACTCTTTGCAGACGATGTCCAGAGCTGTACATGTATATCTTTTTCTTACTGTTTCTACCTACAACAAGACTTGCACAATCTTAAAACACTGTAATCAAAATATGGGACATGGAATTCAATCCATCACAATGTCAAGTTATTCAGTTACCAAAACGAAAGACAATATATACCGTGCGCCATACCAACCTAGAACCATTACCAATGAGCACTATCAAGTTACCTTTGTGTCACAATATCAGATAATCTAACTTTTAACACTCACATTTAACTGTATGGCAGCAATATATTGAAGCTCTAATTGACCAGATTGAGTCAGTACAACGCCATGCTTCCCGCTGGTGAAAAAGGACTACAACCGTTCATTTAATGTCTGAGTCATACTTAATTCTCTAAAGTTGAGGAGCCTGGAGCAAAGACGGATCGATGTGCAAAATAAATTAAAGTTGCAATTTCCCTTCCACACTACCTTAAATCAGACTAACACAATGGAATTCGAAATTTCCACTTCCTTGTTTTTTTTAAAAAATTCAAACAACTTCCGATAACTACAAAAATAATACTTAATTATTATTATAAAGGACCATTTTTCACTGGAATGCCTTGCACCAAATATGTATTTACTTTGTCTGTGCCTATTTTCAATAAGTAACTGTATGTAAACCGGAATGAGCATGTCTTACCCTAAACACACGTGCCTTGCTTTAATCTTTAAACAAGGTTAGCTTTTAAATTTAAGCAAATAGCGGCTCGTTTTGTCATTTAGAAGAATATCATGGGGTGTGTTAAAATATCTAATTGTCAGCCGTCTCTCGGTTTTGCAACAACCTTGATAATGATAAAATTAACAAAGAGGAATATTACATTCATATAAAGGGGCAATTGGCCTAAAAGCGGTCACTTAGATATGTCAAGATATATCCCCATAGAACGAATGAAGTCCCTATTGATACACAGTTTCACTTTATGACCCGTTGAATTTTTGATTTATCAAGTCCCACAGACCTTAAACTTTTGGCCTGAAAATGTGTGTGGTAGGTAGAACTCATCAAGGTGTCTCCGAATATGACGTTTAATTCTTATAGGTTATATATAAGTACAGGAATGAGTGACAAGTCTTATACAAGTCTATATAAATCAAGTACCCCCTTGGGTAGGCCAAAAGTATTGGGTTCCCTGTAAGTAAATCATGTAAAACATCCATATGCATGATTTGTTTGCATAGAATGCATATGTGAAGCGGCATTACCCTCTAAAATAGTGTTATTAGTGCTCTTTTCACTTGCAGACTGCTGTAAACAACTTGATTTTCAACTATTGCATGAAAGCGCTGTAGAATGTTTGACACGATATCGTCTTTGAAGTCATTTTGCAAAGAAAATTGGCTGGCTACCCTATATAAGAAGCTCATGTTTATGTGTTCAAAGAAAAAAAACTCCTTTTTCTCATAATGTATGAATACGAGAGTCTGACCTTACGAAGAAAAACCTCCACATTAGAGAGTGAATTCACTCAGAACCGGAAAGGATAAAATGATCCGAAACTTTAAATAAAGTTTCCTTTAAAAAGGAAAGGTTTGCCCAGTTGTGCCATCATCCTATCCGTTTCACTTTTAAAGAGGTAGGTAGTGTAACCCAAAGACTGGACGAGCACCTGTGCCCATTTGTGCCACCAGTGTTATGCATGCAAATTTGGACAAAAGAAGGACCAGAAGTCCACTGATTATAACTGAACCGAAACATGCTGACGATAACAGTAACAACTTTTTTTTGTAAAAACGAATATCTTTTTGTCAATAAAAAAAAACGCTTTGAAATCTATTCTCTATTGTATAAAACTAATAAAGAAAATAATCAATCGTAACTAACATTGGCTCTCCCACATGGAGGAAATAAAAGTACCCGGTATCTATCTATCATACTGAAGGGAAACAAGTGTGCACATTTCATTTCCATTTTTTTTTCGCAGAAAGAGTCATTATAACTTATTTCTTCCTTCTACTTACCGAAGTAACTAAAATATCTTAGATTTCCGTAATATTACTTCGTCTGATTCCGCAGTATGACGAAATCGCCCGTATTGTCACGATTGCAGCGGAAACTTAGACTGGTTTCCCGTTCCATCATGCACAAACAAATGTAAGCAGGAAACAACCTAACCGGAACAACTTTTCCAAAACAAATGGCTTGCGGTTGTGGCCGCAAGCCAAAAATGCGCACAATCAGATGAACACTAATAATAATTAACCAAACGAAAACTTAATTTAGAGAAGACAGGTTAAATAAAGAAAATTAAACTTCAGTGTAAATATGATTTATTAAAAAGAAATCATGAGGACTAACATGTTTTGTTACTTTAACATCATATCTTTGCGCTTAAAGCAATTCTTGCTTTTTTAAAAAAATAAAAAAAATGGCGTTAAAATTAAAGGTTTTTAGCTACTATGTAAGATTAAATTTGATTGTCCAAAATAATTTGTCCAGCTCAAACAGGTAAATCATATAAAAAGCTAAAAGCCAAGCCTCGGTTAAATTTTGGAGTTTTAGATTGTTTTCTTTTGCTTCCTCAGTAAAATCTAGAACGTAATACCGGCTCGCCCTGGCAAGCCGGCATAAATTCTTATAATCTATCTTTTAAACCCCTGATTGTATCCTTCTCTTTAGTGACGATCAAAGTATATAGGTCCCACAACAGGGGTTTGAATAAATTGAAGTCCTATATAAAAATGCACCTTTACTGTCACATTTCTAAAAACTTTTAGATTATCAGATTTAAAAATATGTATTTTGGTGAATATATTTCCAATGATGATAAAGTAGGCCTAATCTTACTCACAGATGTTAGTTATTCTGAAAAAGTATTATAGACATGGTTGGGAAAAAAACAACAACAAAAACTACACCCAAAAAACCCACACAAAACCAATACTGCAACCTTATTCAAAGAGACTTCTGTCCACTTCAATAAACTAGGTCGGACAGAGCGGAAATATGACTATTAAGCTAAAGGCTTGTTCCAATAAAAAACAATGATTCTAGGAAATAATATGTACAAGCTTATGGTAGTCAGAGGAAATCTGCAGTATTTGTTTGATTTACACGTCGAATCATTTCTTTTATTATTTAATCTTTAAAAAGCTTTGAAATGCCTTGAAATTTGTTAAGAAATAATTTTTTTTACAAAAAGGTATGTAATGTAAAAATAGAGAAAAACAGAATTCTTAAAGAATGCCCAATACGGCAAAATTGAAAATATTGCAGGCTCTGTTTGAATGAGTTTGTTCGTGGACTGTAGTGGTAATTGCAGGACTGTAGTGGTAATTGCAAGCCACGGCCCGTAACACCGGCTAAAGCAGAATTCAACAAACAAAAACTGGTAAAATATTGAATTTTGAAACATCCGCAGATGAATTCATATGGCTGTTATCACGGAACCTCAAAATTAATGTGACCCGTTACTGCCATCCCATTAAAAGCGGCGTATTGTCTCCAAGTAAAAAAAATGTGCATTATTTCAGGCACGGACTGGCACCTGAGTAGAACCACCGACGTTCCATAAGCTAACTGGATAGCTTCCTCACATGAAAGAATCCAAAGTCCCTGACGGGATTCGAACCCAAAGCGGTGAGGGGCAAATGGTTTGAAGTCAACGACCTTGACCACTCGGACGACCCAATATAAAATTGAGATACAAAATGTTACTTTTATATGTTCACAAGTTAATGCCAAATATCTTAATTCAAAGAAATATATTTTTTAAAGAAGACGATTTGAATGCTTTTTCTTTTTACCTAGGGACCATATTTCATGGAATGGTATTATACCGCCGTATGAACACTTTTGCAGATGTTTCTAAATACCAGTAAATGTTGAATTCTGCTAAAGGCGTGGACGGTTGTTTGCACTTGTCAGTAGTCACAGTACCGTAATCAAACCGATCCTGCAACATTTTAAATTTTTCCGTTTTAGACTTTCATTAGGGATTCCTATAGATATTATTCATTTTCCTATACAATTATAAATAAACTATGACCTCTAGGACGAGGCTAATTTTTGACTCCAGATGCATGATTTATGAAACTTTTAAAAGAGGATCATAAGGTGATGCTACATGCAAAGTATTTAAGCTCTGGACATTGCAGTTTTAAACTTTTGTAAATATCATATTAACTTATGCATCAGGCTGGAATAATATATTTTAACATTTTGAAGAGATTCACCTGTGGTGTT